CAGAAACCCAAGTGACAGCCTGCCTGTGGCATCCACACCTCAATAACTGGGCACATCACTTCCCAACCTGCTGGGGAAGGCGTGCATACGATTACTGCCATGGAGGTAAGTGTCCAGTTTGCTTCGAGCTGCATTAACCACTGACTCCTGCTGGAGTCCTGGAGCGATGAGTTCCATGGGGTAACTTGTGCTATGGGTGACAGGAAAAATAAAATAAAATAAATAAATAAATAAATAAATAAATAAATAAAGCTGATTTTCTTTCCTCTGCCAGCCTGTTTGATAGGATGTCACCTCTACTGCTGTCTCAGACAGGGAGAATGGATGTGCCTGATGTGTTGTCTCCACCTCCTTCTTTTTATCCTTCTATCATGAGCCCTCATTAATCTTCTTTCTCTTCCAAGCTAGACACTCCTGAGCTTTCCAATTCTATTTTCTTGTTAGAGGGTGTATCTGCGAGAGGCATAGGAAAATTCCTGTCATCTACCCCTGACAGCTTCTGAGATAAGCTGACCAGCCCGCCATGCGCTAGTTCATTGAGGCTCCACCGCTGATTTATGCTACAGCATTACGAACATACTCAGTATCATTCACCACCGCATTCCTTACGCTTGAGAAGCTTACATCCAGAAAATGAGTTTGCAAGGCTGCCAGGGCATGTGTCCTGCTCCTGTGCATCCCCCTGCTGCACCCTGTGCCCCCTGCCTACCCCAGCAGGAGCTGTGTGGGATATTAACAAACGCAGCCCTGGCTCCTGCTGCCTCCCGGTCCTCTTTGCTCCCCCTGGGTGGCACAGCCACATGCAGAAGAAGAGCAGGAGGTGGCAGCCCTCTCTGCTGCTCAGAAGCATCCTCTGCTCGTGCTGGCTGTGGGCACGGAGACCAGACCCGCACCATGGTGGCAGCTAGGTGGGGACTGAAGCCATGGCCCCCCACAGGACCACTCCAGCACCCACCTCTTGCTCTGGGACGTGCAACTCACTGCAGTTTCAGGATTTAGCCCCTCTGACGGCTCTCACCCCACCAACCAAGGGCTGGCTACAAGTCCAGCAGCATGCTTTTGACCAAGGTCCAGCCTCCAGCTGCGTCCCCCTCCTCCCAGCCCCCTAAGTCCCAGCTGCCGTCCCCAGCCCTGCGGCCCATCTACCCCACTGGCACGGGGCCACGAGCCAGGGCCGCCTGCCTCCCAGCCTCTGTCTCCCAGCCTCTGTCTCCAAGCAGATGGAAGACATCAGCTCCCCACAGCATCCCTCCGCGATAATCTGTCTCGCCTGCTTCCTTTCGGGACACCCCTTCTCATGGCCAGCTAATCCCCTGTGCTTGCCTGTCTCCTTCCAGGCCCTGCAGCTCAACAGAGAGCCCTGCCCCACATCTTTTCTGGGCGAGCATCTCCTCAGAGACCATCTCTCTATACCCACGCAGGACGCCCCAAGAAGACCAGTGTCTCCCACCTCCCACCGAAGGACGTCTGGGCACCAAGTCCTGGCCATCACCCAGGGAACAGGCACCCTTGGGGGAGCTGAATCCGATGCAAACCCCACATGGGAAGTAAATGCACATGGGCAGGGCTGGCCAGGGAGACACATTGGTCACAGCAATGTCCTAGGGGTAAAAAAAAAAAAAAAAAAAAAAAAAAAGAAGGAAAAAGGCCCTGGGAGGCCTCTGGCTCCTGGCTTCCCTTTCTCTCTGCAGCAGCTTGCAGCTCCCCCAGAGGCTGCTCAGGAGATGAGAGACAGCCTCCTCAGCACCATCCCCTGCTGGGCACTTTTCCCATATAAAAACCCTTTTAATGGCAGAATAATAAGCATAAACAGGGAGCAGGGAAGGAGAAGACCACTGGCCACCTTCAGGGAAAGGCCCTGCAGGGATTGCTACCCCCAGAGGCGATCAGATTGATTTCCCAGCAGGGTGGAAGCTGAAGGAAAGCCTCCCCTTGCAGGGCTCTGCGGGTAGGCCACCAGAGGAAGGATGCCACAAGATGGAGCCCATGAAGCCCTGCAGAGGCTTGGCATGGCCTGAGTTGAGCATGGGGCAGGCCACACGGCCCCAGCAAGCCAGTGACACACCAAATGGAGAGCCCCTTAGTGAGAAGGTGCCACAGGCGAGCACCTGAGGGTTGCCAAGCACAGGCCTGTCACCGCAGGCCTGCTGAGGCCATCGCTGTCCCGTCAGGAAAAGAGGGGTACAAGCTGCAGGAGCTGCCCCTGCGGGATGTGCTTGGCTTAGCTGTCTGCACGGCTGCTCATTAAGTCCCCAAGTGAAGGATTTAGCTCCACGTTATCACTTGACTTCCGAATAAAGCGCCTCTCCACGCTTTAATCTCAAGTCTGCTCCACTGTCTTGCCCGCTTCCTCTGGTGCCCTCTCCCCATGGGCTTTTCCCCTGTGAAATGCTGGGAAGTTATTAGCAAATATTCTGGGAAATATTTAATATCCAAACAGCAGGGTCCGTGCGTCCCATGAGGGACTAGTAGTCCTTACATCTAGGATAAGAAAAACAAGAATTGTGTGTAGGCCCCTGGGTCCTACCGGGAGACTGCTTCAAGGCTGGAGTCGTTGCTAAGAAAAAAAATAAAAAAATAATCAAGCAAACAAAACCCACAGTAAAATAGCCCTTTAGGTGAGCTACAAACAGGGTGAGCTGGAACCACACATGAACCTCTCTTCCACTTTGTGGCAGCCTTTGCACAGAAACTGAACACCCGGCACAAATAGCATTGGAAAGTAGATTATTCAGCCTTAAGTGAACGGAGGCAATTTTCCTTTTCTCAAAGAAAAGATTGTGGGGAGATCTATTCTCCCTCTTGTTAATTGTCTTGTGATTTGCTTTTAAAAATACAAAGGTATTTGTTTGCATGGTCCTTGGGGTTGGGGGACTTTCAAAGTCAAGGAAGGTTTTCTAATGGAAAAATGCAGAGCTGCTAAGTTTCCTAAATATGCATAAACACATACACTTCTTTTTTTTTTTTTTTTTCCATTCCTTAGCTGAACTTTGGTAGATTTATCACCCTGCAGCTGTGCCCAGTAGCATGTCTGCCCCTATAAAGTTTCTCAGTTGCCAGAATGGGCCCTGTGTGCCCAGCGCTCCCCGGAGCCACTTGGCCCTGAGATGCACCTGGACCGATTTTGCTCCCGAAGCCAAAGCCACGCTTTTCCAGGTGGCTTTGTGTTGGGAATTCCTAAGTATTTCCACTTCTGACAGCAGCAGGTTCACATGCGTCCTCAGGAATTTAGAGGAATCTTAGGCAGATGATGAACTTTTTTTTTTTTTTTTTAAGTTTGACTCCGTTGTACTTCACAGCACCCCAGTAAAATCACACAGGTAACAGCCAGACACAAAGACAGCTCTGGCTGCTCACTGAACCGGGGCAGGACCACAACCTGAGCAGCTTTAGGGATTTCCATCTTTGCAGGGGGGAAGACTTCAATGCCCAGGCTTTTAGAGCTCCTCTCCAAAGCCCCAGCCGCAGGGAGCCACTAGATGGCCGGCGTGCACACCCAGGGATGCTCAGCCAGCAATTGCAGCTTCTTCTAGGAAATAAAAGTGGAGAACCCAGCCATGCTCAATTCGTTCACTGCCCCGCCTCGCAAAGCAGCCTCCACGTCACCTCCCAGCACAGAAAGTGTCTCCTTGAAAGCGACTGTGCTCAGACAGACTGGAAAAACTGACATCAGCTGGGCGAGCATCTGCTGTGTCAAGCAGGCGGGCGGAGGGCTCACTTGTAATGCCTGCAGGGCCTAGGAGGGTTGGGAGCAGCACATCCAGCATTCACTGGCCCACAGACAGCAGCAGACAAACAGTGTGCTGCAAGCAGCAGCCAATTTTGTTTTCTGCACTGAACTGAGCAGCCCGTAGGCTTGGGTCCCTCCGGTTCACAGGGAAGCTGTGCCGAGGAGAACAGTGCCACTACTTGCAGGTTAAAGCTAAATTTAAATACAAAGCATTGTCCTGTCTGCATTGCCTGAAGTAATGGAGTAGGAGGAGGTGCAGGGCTCTCATTTTTCTTGGACGATTTGGTTTTGACAGGGACAGCAGAGAGCACAGGGCAAACAGACCTGCCAGGAGTCCAAATCTGGCGTAGTTCAGCACTGCCATCTCCAGATCCTTTCCTGCTGCTGAAGCCAAAGCCACGCTGATGAAGAGCTCCCCAGCACAATGGGAAGGGGAGGACAAGGCACAGGCAGCTGCCACAGCCATCAAATCCATGAAGAGCAGGCTCAGGGGACTGAAGGAAGGTGGCCTCCTGCCAGCTGCATCCCCCGCGTCCCCTTCCCCAGCACTGCCATTTCCAGGAGTGCTCCCACATCCCTTTACCCATGGCAAGCACCAAGTTGCTCTGCTTGGCTCCATTTAAAGGAAGCTCTGTGGCTCCGGGCCTACAGTTAGCACTGAAAGCAACCCAGCAGCACTTTCCCATTACTGTGCCTGAGCTGAGGAGGCGCTTGTGGACAACGGCTGGTCTCACCAACCAGCACACGCTGCCTGTTGGCAGTAGGTAACAGGCTAGCCTACGTTCCCTGATGCAGTCCCAAAAAGCAGTCCAAAAGCAAGTTTCTTCCTAGGGAGGTTTCAGCCTGAGCACAGCCCTTGTGCTGTCCAGAGAAGACAAGGTTAATTTCCTGAGGTTGATCCAGCGGATAGCATAGGCTGTGTCTCAAACCTATCAGATTCCCTTTTCCCTCCCACATCCTCTTCCCCATCTCTGGCATATCCCGTTCAACCACCCACCAGTAAAGTTGTAGGCCATCATGCTTTCCCAGTTCCAATCTTTCCTACAGACTTTTTCTCCTAGGCAAAGATGTGGAAACAAACCCTTTTACTGAAGGTGCTCAAAGCACCAATAGTTCACCATACTGCTGTCATCTCTCCTACTCCATTCAATGTGAAGCCATTTTGTAGACCCCAAAGTCACCCCGCCAGGGACTGGGCTTCATGCCCTGCTCCAGCAGAACTGTGAGTGGCAGAAACAGGAAAAAGAAAGCCTAAGAAGTACAACACAAGGATTTTCATGTTCTCATTTTAATGGTTAGAGTCCAAAGTAACACCACCAGAACAGTGAGAATGAATGAGCATTTCCCAAACACACTGCAGACATTTCCGCAAAACAAATCACCCATCTTTGGGAGAAAAACAAGGTATTTCAATACTTAAATTAGTTGTTTGCAATTCACAAACAGGTGATGAACCTCAGCTTTTTCACACTTCACCTTTTTAGGTGAAGGACCCAGGAACAGCTACAGAATTAAAAAACCTGAATGGGATCGCCAGAAATCTTTCTTCAGAAAACGAAGGAACCTCATACAAAGTTGCGGGCAATGGCCAACACTTTGGAGAACTCTCCTTTCTGTCGCAGGGTATATGGTATGGGTGTTTTTATTCTAGTCCCTATCGGATTTCCATTGTCCTCTATGAGTACCACGTTGTTAGAATCAAACCTAGGCGTCATGTGAGGGCCAGGCATCTTGTGCCCTACAATCAAAGCCTTCTTCTTCTCTCCTTTGATAGCCAGAAGAATCTTGTCTCCTACTTTGCCAACTCCAGTCTTGTTATACACGTGGATGCATTTTGGTGGCCGGTGGTACGGCGTGTTCCCCAAGGCGCTGTTGTCCACCACTCGCACACGAGTAAGTTTCTGTATTGCTCGGCATGCTGCTGTGATACTGGGAAAAAACAGGAAAGAATGAGAGAGAGACCTCCCCAATAACCCTTGGGGAGCAAGGGCAAACCCAGTAACAGGATCTTGTCACTGCACAAACCACTCAGAAGACGCCAGCAACATATACATACCACACGGGTGACACATCTACTGCATTCAGTGCGCTCTCTGAAAGCCAGATGCTACTTCGAGCTTTGCACACTCCTCACTAAATGTCACACATAAAACAACCATTCTACTCTGAAACATGACTAAAAGATGGCTTGCATTTACTGTTGTGTTGTTTGTTTTTTTTTAGCAACTGTGGGTGATTCAGTTCAATTTACAAGCAAAAAAAAAAAAAGTGATTGCTTCTGCCAGAAACAGCTCAGAGGAAGCTAAGATTCAAGACGAGCTCTTTCCATCTTGTAGACACTCCCCAGCAGTAAGGACTTTTCTGACTTATCTTTTCAGTGAAGTCTATGAGGTGTTCTCACCTTATTCTGCTTGCAGTGAGACCTCTGAGGTCCTGCTGTGGCTGTGCTAAGCTGCTGCCAATTAGAATCTAAGAGATCCTCACCTTCCCCATGTGGGAGGCACCCAGAGAGCAGCAGTATCTTCTGTATCTGCTTGCAATGTGCGATTATCGGGCGTGAGGAATAACAGGAACACACTACACGGTACCAAGTCGGTAGGTCTGATTTTGAGTATGCTTGGGAGCAGCAGGGATAAGCTGAGAAATAATTCAACCTCCCTTCCGGGAGCAGCTATTCGTTTATCGCACTTTACGCTCCGCTTGCCAGGCTCTGGCTGCATAGCAGGGAAGGCAGGAGGAAGCTGGAAAGGGGCACGAGTGCTGCTGCAGGAAGGAGAAGGGGAAATCTAGGCAGGATCAAAGCTACAAAGCAGCAGTAGCTCCTGGGACTACAACAAAACCCGGCCCTGGGCACTCTCTTAATCCCCTTTCTAGACCACAGTCACAGGAACGACTATTCTCACCCTGCAGACTGAAGCCCTTCAGGGAGCTAAATGCTGGAGTGTACCGCAGGATGAGGGTCTAGGCTTTGCGCAAGGCACTGGAGAAGAGAAGTAAATGAATTTAATGAGTTTTAAATGCACTGAGCCTGGAACAAGCACCTAAAGAAAAATAGCAAAATGGACGCTGTTAAGGTACAAGGAAATCACTTCTCAGGTTATTCTTGTTCTAAAGAGCAGAAATGATAAACTCGGGAGGAATTTTAAACACGTAATTGGCTTTACATCAGCAGGGGCTGGCTGTTGCTTTTTTGCACTTGGCTGAGAAACACGAGCACTTTTATCTTCTGCTTGCAGGCCTCTGCATCACCATCTAAGGCCTGAAAACCTCCGCCTGAAAACCTCCTTCCCAGCACAGGAAAAATGCAGAATTCAGACCGTGTTCTGTCTGCCAGGAACCTGCATCTGTTGTTGTGTTTGGGCTCACTTCACAACCTGCGAAGAGACATCTACGCTATTTTTTGACTATATTATCCTTTTTAAACTAGAAATACTCTGTGTTCTTCTTGATCTGCTTCATGGCATCTCTTTCAGTCAGGAAGCTCTCCCAAGGAAACAAAAGCAGGATCTGAAAAATTACCTGAAGTGACGCTGGCTGACTGCGCTCCTTAGGTGGGTTAAGGAAAAACCCAGCTGCCTGTTCAAGAGGGCCATTTGGATTCTGGCAACACGACCTGTGGAAGAAATAAGAGAATTACGAATCCTGGAAATAGCACAGTGTTCATTTCACTTCCTTTTCCTTCTGGGAATGTCACACTAGAGTCTCAGCAACTCTTCAGACGTTGCAATCCACAGCGCACAGAGCGCTAACGGCATCGTTAGCGTGCCACAAGAGCCTCTGCCAGGTTCAGCAGACAATAATTCGGATGCTTAGACTATGAAGCTGGGTTAGTAACCCCATACTGCAGTCTTCTGTGCCCAGGGATGAAGATCCTTCTGTGCACTGCGAAGCAGGTTAACAACAAACGGGTTTGAGCATTCTGGATGTGAACAGCTTCTAGTTTAGAGACCGGAGTGACCAGCAAAAGCTACCAACGTTACCTATAAAACCAGGTAGAAAGCCAGAGACACCCTGCAGAGCAGCACCAGGGCTTACACAAAGCAAGATGCTCGACGAGCAAGGTGTTCAGCAGCCTTTAGAGCCTGCCCAGGAGGAAGAGCTCCCCGTGCCTTTACGGTACCCGTGCAGCCCCAGGCAGCAGCGCCCCGGTTGCAACAGAACTGGGTTACAGGGCTCACCTCCGCCCGTACCGCACCCTCCTCCCTAACTGCATCCCGAGCTGCTCCCTAACCTCATTCTGTCAGACTGATGGGGAGCAGCCTGCACGCTCAGCGCTCAGTCGCTGCGGCTTATCTGAGCCCAGATCACTTTGCCAGGCAGACACAGGCAGGGGGAGGAAACAGCCCGGATCTGGATCCCGTCCTCCTGCAGGCCAGCCCAGGTAGAGTTACAACTATCTCTGTGGCTGCAGCTGCTGCTGTGACCATGCTTACCTGGCCCTCCACAGCGTAACCACCATGTGCTCTGCCTCTCTCCTGCTTAAACGTTAAAAACACGTTGACCTCTCGTCTCCCTTTGCCAGTCCTGATGAGCACAGGGCCAAATTCCAGAGCAGCGTGTTGTAAAACAGTCTCCTTATCTCTTAAAATAAAGCTGATCTAACTTCACTGGGGGAAAAAAACATCCACAGAGCCTTGCGACAGACACAGCCTCGGTTGTTCTCACTACAACTGAGCAAAAAAGCCAGGCTACATCTTCACTCTCTCTTTATTCTTTTTATTTTTCCCCAATGTTTGCTAACCTGGGGTTTGCAGCTGTCCTACAGAGCACGTATTACCCGAGAGCTGGACGAGAAGCCCTGTGGATCTGCACCACAGCCACTTTGCAGCAGCGCTCCCCGAGCGAGGCGAGCTTCCTCAGCTACCTGACAAGCCAGCTCACCTGTCACCCGGGCAGGTTTGGGACAGAGATCAGCCATAATCAAAGCCTGAGGTCATTTGCTGACAAAGCCACGTTGCTGTGGGGCAGAAAATCTCCGAATGACTCCAAGCTTCTGCTCAGAGATCACCTGCACCGTTCCCTCTCCTGAACGAGACCCCAAAGAGGCTGCATTCATCAGCAGGGAGGACTACAGGTGCCCTGTTCTGCACTTGGGTGTCCTGTTTCCCTGCGGGAAACTCAACCCCAGGCTGTAATACTGCTCCTAAACCCTCCAGCATCGCAGCGAGGCCTTGCAGCCCCCTAGAACTAGGCAAGCAGCAGTGAGTCGGCCACTCTGTTGTCACTGACGGGTGCTTTTTGGGGAGCCCACCGTGTCCCCAGCCTCCATTCCCCATGGTCACCTCACCACCCGGTCCCGGGAGGAGCCAGGGTTTATTTCTACCCTGTGGCAGCAGTGAAGGTTCAAAGGAAGTTACAGAGCTTCGGGCAGAAGCAGCAGCAGCAGCACGAAGTGTCCGAGGACTGTTTATTTTTCCACATGACTCAGTACCCCCTCACTGCTAGGAATTATTCCTCGGCGCATTAAGATGTGTCACCGGCTGAGAAACTCTGTACAGGTGACTGTTTGGCATGAAGCATCCTGCTAGGAGCTGAGTAACCAGGGAGGACGTTTGCAATTTGCAGGAAGGTTCGGGGCGGAAGGAAGGGAAGAATGCATCTGCGGCACCGCGCACAGCATGCAAGGCTGCAAGGGGCTTTGCGAGCAGTGAATCACACCTGCAGCTATTGTAACAGGCCAGCTCCCCTTCCAGAAATGAGCAGATGATGGTTTCGCTCTGCTTCCAGGCTCTCCTCGGCCAGACACAGCTCTGCCTTGGTGGTCCCGTGGCTGCGAGCAGGCAATTGATATCCTCTGCCCTCTGTTTCCCCCTGCAGCGAGGAGCTCAGCCTGTGCTCCCTGGGTTTACTTCCAAAGGCGGCTCTCCCGGGGGGTTTCGGTGGATGGCAAGGGCATCCCCACAACCTTCAAGCACAGGAAGATTTGGAGGAATTCCCACTTAGTCACCTCCACGCTCCTCACCGCGGAATTACCTTGCTGGGACTGCTGGAGGTCGCCTAGCCCAACCTCCTGCTCAGGCAGGATTAGCTTCGGAGCTGTTCACGCTAGGCAAGAGCGGCGTTAAGCAGCACCTCGCTTCCAGGAGCACTTGGAGGGACCTAACTTCTTGAGAGCCGAACCTGGCTTTGCTTCTCTCCGCCCCACGTACCGGTTAAAAGTTCACACAGAGCAAGATTCAGAAAGGGGTGAGGAATCGGCGCATCCAGTATTCACCAAGGTGACACAATTTCTACTTCTCTGGGTCCAAATATGCAGTAATCCCTACAGCAAACATTCCCTTCTCGAGGGCCCTTCAGCATTACCCCGCTCAGTGCAATAGGCTCGCATCAAATCCGGACACCACTCAACAAGGAAACTCTTCACTGGTTTCAAACCTCTGCTGGTTGTTTACCCACTGCACCACTTTCAAGTGCCGTACTAAAGCGACCAACTTCACCATTTTCCCAGGAGATTAAAGGAGTGATTTCTATTTACTGCAAGGCTGCAGTGGCTTTTGAATGGAGAATTCTGGAAAACTTCATGCCAGGTAACTGGAGCAGGCCAGATGCACCATTTTCGTAATCCACATGCAAACACGAGAGCAGACCTCTTCAGGGAGACCACAAGAAGCAAGAACACCTTCCAGATACTGCCTCTGAACCCATGTCAGGACACGAAGTGCAAGAAAGGAGTCCCGTGTCCATCACTTCCCCTGTGCTGGCTCCAGCACATGCGTCAATCAGGAACCGTTTTCAGCAGGATCAGCACCCCAAGCAGCCTCATCGCACAGCCGCACGAATGCTGGACCGAGGGGATGTGGCAAAACACGAGACTGGGATTTCTGCCTTGTCTGGCGACCCTGACGTGCGTTGGTCCAAGTGAGAACATCTCAAGAGATACTTGCTCCCTGGTCTCAAACCAAGACCTGTAGTTCTGCCGTCGTTCGGTAATTTCTGTTCCTTCCTTCTGCTGGGAACTCATCCACTCCAACTGGCCACAGGGAAAACCCGCGGATGTGCTGAGGCCGAGCAGCCAGCGCCTGCTGTCAAACGCACCAAATGAAAGAGGAAGAAATATTCCTCACCTTCGGGAGCAGCGATTTGAGCTGAAGAGCGCAACAGCAGGAGCCCACGTGCCCTTTATTCTTCTCAGAGACCGAAATAGACCTGCCCTGGGCACCGCAAGGATGTGAACTGCATCTGTCATCCATCACTAAAACACGGGAAATAAATCAAGGCAAGGCACACCACGCAAACACCTCACCCCAGCTCTGGCGCTGGGGGGTTATTTATAGGATGTCTGCCAGGGTGAGCTGCGAGAGCCAGCTGGGAGCTACGGGGCTCGGTCCATCCACGGCCCTCCTCATAGAGGAAGCGGTGATTAAGGGCTTGGGCGTGTTAGAAGTACACAAGATATTCATTACCCGGGCATAATTGGTTGTGCATTAATGACAGGCAGAAAGGCCAAGATTGGCGGAGGAATTAAGGCTTCTGGGGCTCCGTTTATGAATAGGATTAGCTATTAAACGGGGCATTTATTGATCCAAGTTACCAACGGCAGCTCACTACAGGTGTGTCTGTTAACAGCTCGCAAGGGCAACACGCTGACCCCGTTCCCACAGCCAGAAAGGGCTGGACACCTGCAAGAGAAAACTTACTTTTGACACATTAAGGATCCGGGAGTCCCAAAAGCACTTGGGGCTCTTACTGCTCCAGCAGCCGAGCACCTTAATCCATTATACACATTCGCAGCCTAAAATAGCAGGGGATTATTGCTGTTGTACCAGCAGGACATTAAGCTGTGGAGAGGACAAGGGGCAGGGGTGGCAGGGCTGGGACCTAAAGGCGAGGGGGCACCCCAAAGGCGAGGGGGCACCCCAAAGGCACCCAGCACCCCCAAGCAGCGCTCTGCTGCCCGTGGGGCTGGCGGTGCAGCCCAGCCCTGCCTCGCTGGTGCATTTCGGGGCGCTGTGCGGGCTGGGCAGCCCCGTCACGCCGCCTCCCTCCCCAAATTCCCCCACAGGCACATTTCGGGGGCGGGCAGCCCGCACTTCCCGAGTCCCCGCCACACACCGTCAGGGCGCAGGAATCCCACCCCACCGCCCCAAAACCCCCGGGGAGGCTCGGAGGGGGACGAGGCCGAGCTCGTTGCCCCCTCCCAGCGCACAAAACCCCCTCACGGGGCACCAAACCCCCTCCTCAGCGCGGAGCCCCCTCAGCGCACACCCCGCTCCCTGCCCCCCACCTCCCTCCCTACCTCGCTTCGGAGGCCTCCGCTTCGCAGCGCAGCTGCGCATGCGCGCCACCGCCCCCTCGGCCCTCCCCTGGCCGAGCGGAGCCGAAGATTGCCGAGAGGAGCCGAGGCCGCCCCCTCCCCTCCCCTCCCCGCCCCGCCCGTCCCGGTGCCGGTCCCGGTGGCCGGGGGGAGCCCGGAGCCGTCCGCGCCTGGCCCCGGGTGAGCGCTGCGGGGCGGGGGGCGCCGGCTGCCATCTTGGGGCGGGAGTGCGGGGCTCGGGCAGCGCCGGGAGCCCCTCGGGGCCCCGGTACAAAGCGCGGGGGTCGCGGGGGTGCCGTGGTTTTGGGGCGGGGGGCGCTCGGCGGGGCTCCGCGCCGTGCCCTGCTGGCCCGGTGTCCCCGGTTGGGGTGGGAAAGGGGGGGAAATATCCGGGATTTGGGGCTGGGAAATGCGGATTTCTCGGCTGGGAAATGCTGGTTGCAGGGTCCGGGGGCTTCCCGCAGCGCGCTCGCCTTTTGGGGTGAAAATGCACCCGAAAGGTAAAACCCCAAATCCTGTTTTCCCAAGAAGCGGCAGCCCCCAGCCCCGCTGCAGGGGTTGTACCCTGTGTACACCCTCACCATCGTGCCCCATCCTCATCCTCACCCCCTAAATCCCCATGGGAAGCCTTTGGGGTCCTGTGCTGCCCGCTGTGGGGTGCGGGATCGGGGTCTGCTAGGGACCCGATGGGGGATGTGGGATATAAAGGCTCTGCTGCTGGAGGCAGGGCGGATGGGGCTTGCTGGGCCCGATTTTCCCCGTGGGGTTTTTTTTTGTGTTTTTTTTTTTTGGTGCAGAGAGGGAACGTGACGGTGGGGATGTTTGGGAAACGGAGCCGTCTCCCCGTCCTTTAGCAGCGCCGCTCAGGCCTTTTCCTAATCCACTTCCTAATCCCCGAGAGGGGGAACAAAGGGGAGAAGGAGGGGAGCAGCCCCCGGTGTGGGCACCCCTATACGTGAAGCCGAGGCTCCCCAGCAGCACCTGGCTCGGGGTGGCTGTGCGATGCCCACCCCGCATCCCCATCCCCATGGTAACGGGGCAAAAAGGGCCCTTTTCCCATGGCACTGGGTGCCCACCGACAAGGAGAGGGACGCGGAGACCCCACAGGGAGCGGGGCAGGGGTGCTGCCGCCCCAACCGGCCCCAGCCATGGTGCAGGAGCGTCCCCCGAGATGCTGCGTGACTCAGAGGAAGGCTCGCCTTTGTCTGCGCTCCTCCTCCTCCTCCCAGCTCCCCGGGCTCCTGTCGGGGCTGGGCAGGCAGGAAGCAAACGCTTTGCTGCCAGCGTGCTCCCCGCTTTCACCCCAGGTCAGTGTGACAGCCACAGCCGCTGGAAATGGGAGAAACGGGAGTTGTCTCCTTTTTTTTCCCTCCTTTCCCGCATTTTGCAGGCGGGATTTACCCACCCTGAGCCACCCGGAGAGGGCTGGGACGCGCAGGAGCTGCCCCGAGCAGTGTCCTGCTCCGGGGCTCCCCTGCCTGCAGCTCCCACGGAGGCTGCGTGCCGCAGGGTAGCAGCAAAAAGGGGGCTCAGGGGATGGGCCTGGTGGCTTTTCTAGCAAGATATTAATCAGAAAACAACAAAGGGAGGATAAAAACAAACGTGTGCGTACGTGTACGCGCCCTGCGAGAGAAAGAGGGCGAGATATATCCGTGACGCCGGTGCCAAGCTGGTGGAGCCGAGGCTCGCAGCATGAAGCGGCTTTTCTCCGGGGCTGCAGGCCCGTGCTTGGCACTGCCCCCTCGCTTCGTGCTCCTCCGGCGTGGAGCTGGGTGTCTGCCCTCTGCTCCACATACCGATGGGCCGCAGCGAGCCCCGGGCTCCCTGGCTACGCCTGAGATGCTGGATGCTTTCCTCCGGGCTTCTCCGCGGCGTTTGCCCCCCTCGCTGGGTTGTTCCAGCCAGCTGCGTGTGCTTGCGATGGCTCAGTAGCACCAGAAAGGCTCCCCCGGGCTCTGACACCATCCTCGGGGGATGCTCCCGCTGAATCCCTCGCGGATCTCCGCTGCGGGGTGGCAGCCAGCGGGGCTCTGGCCTGCCCTCGGTGCTTCCCCTAATTAAATCGGGGCCGTCAGTAGGCTCTGCCTCGGGTCCCTCCGAAGCCAGGGAATGAGACAATCTTGGCATTATCTGTTACTTAGAGGAAACCCAGATGGCAGCAGGCCTCGTCTGCTGCTTGGAATAGTCGTCAGCAGCTGGTGTCTTCCGTCCCATGTCCCAGCAGAGCCTGGTAGGGACACAGCCTGGGGGTGGTCTCTGCAGCTGGCTTGACGACACCTAGGCTCTTCAACCAAAAATCCAGCCCCTGGGGGGGCAGAGAAGACCTTACCAGGGTTGGATCCCTCTGTGCATCAGCTGGATTCCCTTTGTGTGGAAGTGTTGTGCTCTGGAGGCTCCCGGGTGATGCTGGCAGGGCTGCCGCCTCCCCCGGGGTGACAGGCTGCAAGCCGGTGGTTTGGGTTTGCTGGGCTCTTCTCCACACTCGAGGCACCGAGCTGGGAACAAATGACTGCGTGCCTCCTGAGCTGCAGTAACTGCCCAGGGGCTCGCTATTACTCACGGGGAGGAGAAGGCGGCGTGAGTGGCAGCGTTATAAATCCGCGAGGAAGGAGCTGGAGTGGTGGCGGACACAAAAACGGCGTGGTGGACGCAGGGAGGCATCGGCTGGGAGGAAAAGGAGAACAAGGGAAAGGTGATGGTGAGGAGGAACCACCTTCACCTGGTGGGGAAGGTCTGGGGTGGTGAGGGACATAGAGGAATTAATTGTGAAAAGCGAATGCAAGCACAGGTTGGAACAGGTGATGGCTGTTGGGGTAAATTAGATGGGGTCAAGGGGACACAGCCTTATGAAATCCACCTGAGAGTACTTTAAAACAGGCTAAAGCAACTTCTGCATGGTGAGCAGCCCCTTCAGAGAAGCATCTAGTGGAAGGAGATCCCAAGAGGATCCACAAGTCACACTGAAAAGGAGGTCTGATGTTCCTCTCCGACAGGAGACCCTGGCTGGGATTTCTGAGCAGGGTGGGTTGGTGCTTTGCTGGGGGGGAGGAAAAATGCGAGGCAGGCCTGGTGCCAGGCTGTGTGTGTGCTCGGAGTGTCACCTCTAAGGGATGGGAAGTAATCACTGCTGTCCCTGTCACGGGTGAGGTGTTGCTGAAGGACTAGGCTCGGATGTAGAGGGAGCGCTTTGGAGGATGTCCACAAAGCAGAGAGCATCCAGGAAAGCGACAGAAATTATTAAGGCCTTTAGAAATGACATGGGAGGAAGGATGGGAAGAAGTAGGGCTGGGTTAGCCTGAGGAAGAAAAGAAACAAATTTGTTTTTACCAATTTGGCAAAAGGTCAAGTTATAGCTTACATGGCCGAGTTATAGCCCGTGTGGTTACGGACGAGCAGTAGCTGGCTCTACCTCAAAGCTCAGCATCCCTCCAGACCACCCGTGGAGGCCCCTTCCAGGCCGGCAGCGGAACGTGCCGTGTTGGCTACCTGGCGAGGAAGCAGCCAGTAGCCATGGGAATATGACTTGGCTTCTGTGGGAGGTGCTGGGGAGACGGGTACGAAAATACTCCGTCTAAATCCAGTGTCGGCGCTCGGAAGGGGATATTGAGAAATTGAGGAGAAGGCAGGAGGGTTGCAGAAGGATCTGAGGGCTGGGGAGGGAGCTTTCCGGCGAGAAGCGGGAGGAGATTGGTCTGTTTATCTAACCGAGGGAAAGATCGAGGTGGGACTCGGTTATCCTGCGTGAGGATAACATGCATGCCTTGTGAGGAGGACTCCTCCAAAAAAGCAAGCACCATCCTGACCTTATCTAACACAGGGTGATGCCCAGGCTCTCCGACACTCTCCACGTGTGTGCCTCTGCAGTTTGTCCCTCTCCTCACCCCAGCCCATCATCCATCCGACTCTTCAGGTGATTTATGGCATCCCTTTCCCTGTGGCCCTTGGCTGCTTGGCCAGACAAATACCCACCGCCTGCTTCAAGGCCAATAATGCCCAAAAGCGAAAATCCCCCTACCAGCCCGTGGTCCGGGGCTTTGTCACCTGTAGCTGCTGTTTTATTTAGGGTCACTGGGCCGCTTTCCAGCCCGCGAGGCGATGTTTCTGTCTGAGCCTGCCGAGCAAACCTCGGGAGGGAGGTTGGGTGAGGTGCTGCGGCAGATGGCTTGCTAAAATCTCGCTCCATCCGCGACTTCCCTTTCACCCACTAACGCGGTAATGCTGTTAAAAATAAAGATGAGCCAGTTTGCCTGACAGGATGTCTCCCCTGTAAATCCCCGCCGCCTAGCGCTGGCGGCACCTCGCTCTAATGCATATCTCCGTGTTCCCTTATCCTCTGTGGTAAGGGGAGCTTCAGAGCTGGCAGATAGCTGCTGACTATGGTGGCGAGTCAGGGAAATGCTTTGATGCCTGTTAAGGGGGAAGAATAGGCACTCTGAACGGGACTGGGAACACCCAGCCTAGTCCTGAAAAGCTGCTGGAGTGCTGGGAGCCGGCCCGGCCCACAGCAAGCGTGCCCGCCTGCTTTTTCCTTGGCACCCCACCCTCCCCTGGGGCTGTTTTCGGCTTGCCCGATCATCCCTATCAGCCTCTAATTGCCTCCCAGCCTTTCAGAGCATCCCTGAGCTCGTCCCTCCCTAGATGCCATCTCGCCTTGCTGTTTGCAGAGCCCTTCTTTCCCAACACCACCTCCTTTCCTTGCCGAGCTGGCTCTGGAGGCCCGGAGCAGAGCTTTGGGGCACCTCCCTCTCCTCCTACCCAGCACCAGGACCTCGTAAGTCCTGCTCTGTCTCCCCACGTAGAGGTGCATGCGTGCTAATGCCCCGTTTTGCCTGCAGGAGCCTTACGCGAGGTGGATTTCCGAGTCAGGGAGGGTTTGGGATCCTTAGGACAAAGTGTTCTTTCTCGCTATTTGGAAAGAAAAAAATCCTCGTGTCTGTGTTGTGAGGAAGCGCTCTGTCGGTGAGAGATGCTTCTGGGCTCAGAGCAGGGCGCTTAACTCCTCTGCCTGGCAAACTCGTGTCCGTGCTTCGAGAGCAGGGAACGTACCCAGTCCTGCAGAGCCTGAGCATCGATCTTTGATGGAATTGAACCAGCAGTAGCAAAATTCATAGTGCACAGCACTGCTCGCCTGCGTGTGCAGGCAGGGAGACATCTCCGACATCTCCCTGGCTCCCTGAGCCAGTGGGGGCAGACTGAAGCTTGTGCTTTTGCCGTTCCTCCTGTAAGCAGCTGGAGAACCATCCAAAAACACCCTCGGTTTTAATCTCGTGGGCTGTGCAACCCTCGAGCAGGGACAGGACAGGTGTAACTTGCCCAGAAGGGTAAGTCCAGCAGCACGGTGTGTTTCTACGTCTGGTCCTGTGGTCCTGTTGTTAACACGGCGTGCTCCAGGCTATAACTGGACACACATCAAGCCGCGGCTGAGGCTTTCTGGTAAAGCCACTGGGACCGCCCTCCCCGTGCCCCTCAGGAGGGGTGGAAGCTCAGAAATCGATCCGAGCCTCTTAATCGTCCTCTCCAGTCCATTTGGAGCTGGTAAGTGCGACGGCACCGAGGATGGCTCCAGGAAATGAGAAAGGGGAGAGGAGCCAGGAGGTCCATTACCCTCCTGGTGGGTTTGAAGGCAGGAAAGCGATGGCCTTCTCCAAGGAGGAGAGGAAAAGGCGAGGTTCTAAAAATGAGCCTGGCGTGGAGAGGCGGCTGGGCTCAGCCAGGAGGGAGGGATGGAAAAAATGTGGTGGTGGCTTTAGGAGGAGCCAGGAGCTGGCACCGGTTGTTCTGCCTGGATGGGCTTCAAGGCTCTGCCGCCATATGGGCGTTCGGATCAGCAGCAGCACTGCGGGGCCTGTTCCTCACTGCCGGGTGGGGGTATGCCTCGGGCCGCAGAGAAATTGAAGAAGGCCTCTGGTAGTTGTTGTCAGATGTCCTTGCTGCCTACAGCCCCTGAAACCCCATTCCAATCTCCATGGGGGTGGCAGCAGCATCGTGGTTGCTCTGCAGGACACAGGCAGTGCCCGAGCCTCCCACCACAGCCCCATAGCAGCCAGCAGCCCTCCATCGAGCTGCTGGGAGAGGGTCTTGTGTGGTGGATCTAATCAACAGGACGATCTACCCAGAGCTTTGGGGTCTGATATTAAAAATATATATACTGAGGGTGCCCTCAAGTATGATCCCGGTGGTGAGGTGACCAGCCCTAGGTCACCCTCCTGCTGTCTCCTGATCCTCCCCATGACAGGAGGGGGGATCCAGAGCGCTCGTGCTCCCTTGACTCATCTCATTTCCACCCTGAGAGCGCTCGGTGTTGGTAAACAGCGTGTTATAAATAGGCAGGCGGTGCTATATCGGGAGCTTTGCCTGCTGCCGAGCGCAGGCGTCGCAGGATCCGGGCCTGGCTGCTGTGGACAGGGCTGGGCAGCTGCCTGAGCACCAGCTCTGCTCCACCTGGCCCCGAAAAAGGTGTCCCCAGGCTCCCAGCCTTTGATGGGGAGGCCAGTCGGGTGGCATCAGAGCAGGGCAAGCTGCCAGGGGGGAAATTCCAGCCTTGCTGCTTGCTTACGGGGCTGTGGTGTGATAACCCCCACGGGCCTGGAGCGCAAACAAATGGGCAGCTTGGCAGCGGCCGGCCGGCCTCGTGGGGAAGGATAGAGGAGGTGCTGCCCTCCTGCCTCCTCGGACTTTTCCACAGCCTGGTTTAAGGCAGGTGAAGCTGCCTGGTGCTCTGCTGGAGGGTCAGGCTGGCCCCTCGGAGCCATGAGGGCACCTTGGAAGAGCCAGGCTGGCGGCCCCCTGCTCTCTGGTGTGTGAGGTGAGACAGTGGTGCTGCACCTTCTTCGTGGATAAAATGTCCTTTAAACGGTTCCTGCCTTATCTCCAGCAAGTGGCATGAGTCTTCCTGCACGGGGATGTGGAAAGGGCCCGCTGGGCAGCCCCTCATCCCTCACACGGTAACGGAGCGCGCCGCGGCACTTCGTGGCTGGAGAGCGCCTGCCCCAGCAAGAGGTTTTGGGGGTGGTTTTCTTCCTTTTCTGTTTTTTTTTTTTTTTTTTTTTCGTTTTTTTTTTCCCAGAATACCCCATAGAAAAAAAAATAAAGCCCTGTGACAGCAACAGAGATGCAAAGGCCGTGTTTGTTGTGTGTGGCAGCATTTGCCAAGAGGCTGATAAGCCCTGACATGAACGCTGATGGTGCGTAGCGAGGCTGGCAGCGAGGTTTGAGGGTGTCCCGGGGTGCAGAAATGGGGCAGCTACCTGGATGTCTGAGCGTTTGTTGGTTTAAATGGGGTAAACTACATCTCATCGGGACAGTTGGTGCTTCTCGACCTGCCGTGTTTATTTAAAACCAAAGAGAGCTTGCTGGAAGGCAACGGGAAATGCAAGGATAAGCTTGGGAGAGGGGACGAGGCTTTAGGTCCCGGTGTGGCTGAAAGTCAGCTCTGTGAGCTCTCAGGGTATCAATGCTAAGCAGCGTGTGGCAGTTGTCCCTGTGGTGTACCACAGGAGCCTATTTCTCACCATCAGAGACAAATTCGGGTTGAGCTACTTGATCTTCGCTGCCTCCACCGTGAAACCTCAACTGGGGGCTGTGCTGATAACCAGAACGTGTAGCCTGGGGTCAGCGAATGGTCTTGGAGAACAGCTGGTGCTTGAAGCAGAGCACGGTGCTCCAGTCCGCCCCATTTTAGACAAACACTTTAATTTCGCTGTGTGTTTAAGCTGTGATCACTTCAGCGAGAGCGTCTCGAGATAAGTGTGTGCTTAGCAGCTTTCCTGAGCAGGGGCGATTTCTCTTGCGTGAGGATCCGTGGAGAAATATCTCACCAAGCATTAGCCCATGCAGGCTGCCAAGGCTAGATTCGTGTTGGGCGAAATTCTAAACAGCAACCTCATCTGGGTTATTAATTAGTAATTAAACTCTGACTGCCATTATCCATTAATTGTTCCTGCGCTCCTGCGATGCGTTTGGGAAGGCCAGGCTCTGGAGGGATCGTTTGCTGCTCGGTCCTGTTGCATTAGGGGCCTCAGCTGCAGCTCCAACAGGTGACTTGTCACTTCGTGTAGCTGTCCTGCTGCGGTGTGTTGTCCTGATCCAGAAACCAGAGACGGAACAGCACTTTCCAGCTGTGTGATCCAGCAATTCATCAGCCTCCCTTCAGGTCAAGGCAGGATTTCGGTGGTCTTGGTATGTGCGAGCAGGGGCTGTGGGCAAGAGGAGCCCGTGTTACCCCCTGCAAGCCTTGGATGGACTTTCTTAGGTTTGGTATTTGCCCTCGTGGAGCTGTGCTCCGCGTAAACAGTGACTCAAAGTGGCTTTGCCCGATTAAAGTGCCATTTCTCTGTTTACCCGAGCGTTGAGATAGGGCTCTGGATGACACAAGGCTTGCGCTGCTGCGCCTCGCCTAAAATTCAGAGCCCTCCTTCAAGCCTAAGCAACCACTTTTTATCTCCCACACCTCTCTCTGCAGCTCTGGGAGCCGGGCTGCTTGCCTTCGAGTGCCACTTCTGTGTCCCTGCTCTTGGCCGGGTGCCGTCAGCTCCGTGCCCAGTGCCCGACCGGCACTTTGTTCCCTGCGTTCCCAGCCTGGGCCCGGCTCCTCTTGCCAAGCCCAGAGGGTGGAGAGAGGCCGGTGAAAAGAGCAGCCCGCTCAGCATCTCTCACGTGCTGCTGGCTGGCTGCGGGCCCAGCCTCCCCAGCCTGCCGTGTGTGCGTGGCTCCCTGGCTACAGACCCCTGCCCAGCAGCCTGAGATCGACCCAAAAACTCAAAAGGAGGTGTTCAGCCCTCGTGGTGCTCAGCAGGTGTGCAGAGATTTCCCTGTCTGTGGTTCAGGTCCCTCTGGCAGCAGCAAGCATCCTGCAGAAGAGGGACCAGGCCATCTTCCAGCAGTGACACGCCGAGAGGGGCCTGGCTGTCTATCCGGAGCTATGTGGATAAGGGCTCGGGGACAGGGTGAGTCTCAAGGCTGTTTTTGGGGCCCACCTCGCTCTGCTGTGACCTTTGCTGCTTGCTCAGCTCGCAGCAGGAGCTCAGGCTGGGTCTCCTAGCCCTGCCTCATGGACCGTGCAACTTCCCTGCCTTCCCTGGTGAGCTCAGTGGCTGCTGAGACCGGGTGCGTGTGGGGAACGATGTGTCGTAAAACCTCAAGGATTTCCAGCGTCTCGGTGCCCCGGGTTGGACGTTCTCATGGCCAAGGTCACCTTGCTGCGTGTGGCCGTACCGGTTGCTGTGTCAGCGCTGAGCTTTCCCCACTGGCCGCATGTGCCGGTTCCTGGATGTCCTTCTCTAACCATCCTGCCTTGCTGGCCGCCTCCAGCCCTCTCTCCGGGAGGGCCCTCTGCTGATGCTGGCTGTTGTTGAGGAACAATTCCTCCTCTTGCTTTGGCTGCTCAGCCTCTTATCAGCGTGCAGCCGCGAGGAGAGCCCGGCTCCGCGTGCCGCAGGGCTGCCATTACCTTGCCCTTTGGAGACCAGCCCTGGCGGGCGAGCACCGTGCAGCGAGGAGGAGGTGAGGCCATCCCCCTGCAACCCCTGGGAGCTGCAGCATGCATTAGGAGCACGGAAAAGGGCTGATGCAGCAGCACGCCCTGCCAGCCCCTGAGATGCTCCTCGCCATCACCGCACAGTGGCTTGCATCATGAAGGGTGTCCTCGGTGGTGAAGTGCTGCGGGTAAGGGCTCACGGTGGTGCCCAGGGGACGAAATCCCCGTGTGGCTGAGCTCAGTGCTGCAAGGAGGTCGGTGCCTGCCACACAGGAGGAAAGAGTCAGTGTGACCTTGAGAGGCTAGCTCAGAAACCTGGTTTTGGGAAAGAGATCCTGCACTTCAGGAAGGAGAGCTGGGTGTGGGTGAGAATAGCCAGCCTGTGGAGGCTGGCAGGGGACAGACACGGGGCAGGAGGGAAGGCAGATGTGGTAATTATCCCCCAGGGAGAGGATTAAGATCAGAGATAAACAGGAATCTCCAAGACTAGGTGAGCTTACTGATAAACAAGGGGAAGGGGGGTGAGAGGTGCGGAGCTTCTGCTAAAAACGTGCACCTGTGCTTCACTGATGAGATGGCTCAAATTGAGGAGGAATGTGAAAATTCAGAGGGAGAGACCACCAGGGACACCTGTGGGGCACCCAAACAGTTCAGCGTTTGAGCACTGTGAAGGAGCAGCAGTGTTTGTGTAGCAAAGATCCCCTGTAAGGAGTCCTTCTCCCCCAGAGGAACGAAACAGCCCCTGTGCTGTGGGGATCCAGAAAGCAGAAGGTGTTTTGGGGGGCTTACACACATAAGCACAGCACCAAGGAGTGAGAAGGCAGCGTGGAGGGTTTTGCAGGAAGCAGGAGCCTCAAGACGTGCATCCCTTTAGGATCAGCCTCCAGCAGGAGCTGGGTCTGACCTGGAGGGATGTGACAGGAGGGCACTGCTGGAGGGCTGGCAGGAAAGAGATGCTCCTGTGTAAGCCACAGCTTTTCTGCTAGGAAGGATCTCTTCCAGTCCTTCTTCTTGGCTTTAGGGGAAAAAAAAATACTTCTGTGGGACCTGTTTCTGTAAAATGTGGCCTGCGTTATCCACAGGCTTGTGAGATTTGTCTTGAATGCCTAATGGTTGGGATAAATGATGGTTATGGTAGCGCCGTGGGCAATGTGCGTGCACGAGCCGTGTTCCTGCTAGAAAGGAGACTGAGAATGGGGCTATAAAGCACGCGGGAACAAGGTAAATGGCTCGGTCTCTGCAGAGGAGAATCATCCTTCCCCGAGCTGTTGCGAGTCTTTTGGTATTTCTCTGCACCAATAGCTAAGACTGCACTGGCGTGCGTGATCCGCTCGGGTGTTAGGAAACCCCAGAAGGTGGTGAAGAAGGGAGGAGGCATAGGGTTCTGGAGCAAAAACTGGCCCAAAAAGAGTATGGGAGCGGCTGAGCAATTCCCAGTGTGATATAAAGAAGCACAAGGACGGGGTTCTCCGCTATTAGTGACCCCAAAAGGTGTGTGGTGGGGTACCCAGCGCACGAGGGGTTGGGTGAGAGGTGCTGAGAGCATCAGAGCGCCGTCCTGGGAGTCAAGGTCATCTCCCGTACCCAGGCTGTGCCGTGCGCTCCTGGCGGTGTTGCTGTAGGGTCGGGAGAGGGTGGTGATGCTCTCCCGGGGCTGCTGAGGTGTTACCAGCCTCTGATGGGGGCCCTGGGAGCGTGGGGCTGAGGCCTGCAGCGAGCCGAGCGCGGTGATTCAGCCTCGTAAAGCTCGGTGGCACGCAGCCAGGCGGAGGAAATGGTGGGATCATGATGCAGCAACCGTCCCGGAGCCGTTCGCTGCCATCAGCCAGCCGTGACTGAACGCCCACCCCACCCTTTTGGTGGCTAAATGCCCTCCCTGGCAGGGGGAAGGTGCGGGGAGACAGCACCTTTTGGGAGAAGGAGTAGTCGGTGAGGAAGAGGTGCACCGAAAATCCGTGGGAGCAGGCGAGGGAGGCTTTGGGATCGTGCACAGTGGGACCAGCTCCTGGCCCCCAGCCCTAACGGGGCCGTGCTGTGCCAGCAGGCAGGCACCTAACCCGCCCTTTTTCTCCCTCCCCCAGGGAAGACGATGAAGCTGTAGAGATGCTTCCCTACGTGATCGCCACCCTGGGCTCAGCCGGGGGCACCTGCAAGGCCGCCTCCTGCAGCAACAGCACCAAGGATTACTGCTACAGCGCCCGCATCCGCAGCACCGTGCTGCAGGGGCTGCCCTTCGGCGGCGTGCCCACCGTCCTCGCCCTCGACTTTATGTGCTTCCTCGTAAGTCTGCCTCCTCCTCCTCCTCCTCCCGCTGCTGCTTTGGCACCTTCTCACCTTGGTTAGTCAGGGAGGGAGGGCCGTGGCCTGGTGGTGAGAGCTGTGGGGTCCCAAATTCCCCAGGATGTCATGAGCAGCTCTGTCCCCTCCTAATCCCCGTTCCTGCACTTCTGCAGGCGAAGGGCAAAGAGATAACTTTGCTTTGTCTCACGGCTCTCCCTCTGCTCTCCTCCAGGCACTGCTGTTTGTCTTCTCAATTTTGCGGAAGGTTGCTTGGGACTACGGGCGCCTGGCCCTGGTGACTGATGCTGACAGGTAAGCCTGGGCGCGGATATGGAGCTCATCCTGCACAGCTCCTACTCCCCAAGGGGAAAAGGGTGGGCCACCAGGCGTTTTTGGCAGGGTGGAAAGTGGACAAGCTGCAGCTCATCCCTCCCGTGCTCTGTGGCAGGAGACCTGCACTGACACTTGGAGCACAGCACACCTGGACAGGGCTGTGGGGACCTCTTTGTGGGGCCAGAGCAGGGATGGCAGAAGGAATGTGTCCAGCAACCCTCTTGTTTTGCTTCTGGAGGCAGTGTGCGTAGCTAGATTGTCAGGAAGCAGGCAGAGGAGCTGTAGGGCCTGTGTATCTGCTCCTGTGCAAGTGGGGGTTTAGCTTGCAGGTGCTAAAACATCACTCCTGGTGCTCATCCTCCCTGCCCAAGGTGTGTTTGGGGGACTGAGCCTTCTGGCAAAACTCAGGGCCCCTCGGAGACGGTGATTTTGTGTTGGAGGCTGATGCTTGGAGCTCCTTTTGGGAGCAGACCTTGCTAACCAAGCCCTGGAGGGAAGATCTTCTCTGGCCTCACCCCCAGCAGGTTTCTCTCCTCCTCAGGATGGCGTGGAGCCCTGCTGGGCGCACAGTGCCCTGCGATGGAGGGGCCCCAGCGCCCGCTCCCCTGTTGTAACCTCTCCTTTTCTGTTTCTGTGCCCCCAGGCGCCGACGCTGGCAGACGGAGCGAGAGGAGCGGGAATAGTATGTTGTTTTTTCAGGGTCTTGTTTCTCCTCTCTTTCTCCCTGTCTCTCTCTTTCTCTTCTTTTTGCAGTTTTCTCTCCTGCTTCTGAACTAATCTGAGTGGCTGGGAGCTCAGGGCTTGGATTTGTGTCTCTCAGGGGATTCACACTTTGCTCTTCCCCTCCCCTTTGTGTCAGCCACCTCCCGCAGCTGGGCACTCCCTGGTTTTCCCCTCCGAGCCCTTAAATTCTCCCTGCATGCAGCAGCGCCGGGAAGCTGCCGGTGGAGGCAGAGGGTGCCGTGTCATGCACCCTGCTGTACCTGCCAGGGTCCTGCTGTGTGATGGGAATAAACGTAGCTGTGATGGAGGAGCTGGAAATGACCCTGTGGCATCCTGGGGTTGCCCAGGCAGAGGGCAGCCTCCTTTACCTCGTGCTGGTGAGCCACGAGGGCTGCTCTCAGGAGCACCGAGGTGCGTGGGGAGGATCTGGCAGGCCCTCACTCAGCTTTTCTCTTGCCTTCACCCCTGCGAGGCTGCCAGGACCAAAGTACATGCTGGCTCTTGTCCCTTAGCACCCACCCCTTCCTGCCCCAGCACCTCAGCCTGGCATTTCCAGACCTTTCCTCCCTGCTCTTCCCTCTTTCTTGCTGCTTTTTTATCTAAGTAAGGACCGTTCTTGCTGATGTGCTGAGTGCTACACGCTGCGGGGGAGCCAGCCAGCAGCACAGAGCCTGAGATGGTCACGCTGCTGCCATGTTTTTGTGGCTGCTCTTTGCTCCAAAAGGAGCAGAGGAATTGGAGTTGTGGAAGCAAAGGTGCTGGTAGCTGTGGTGAATAGCACGGAGGGGATGCCCTGCTCACGCTTGAATGCTTCAGTAGTGGTTGGCCCTGCTTCAGGTAGGCTGGCAGCTCTACCAAGGGGAAGTCAGGTAGAGGTAGCAGAGCTCTGAGGCTCAGGATGTGGCCTTGCAGGAGGGTTTGGTCACCTCTATTATCCTCCTGAGCGCTTGTCTCTCTCCAGGGGTCCTCTTGTTCCTCTTCCCATTGCTCCCCTGAGCTTGCTGGGGCTCTGCTGTCACCCAGGCCTAGTGCAACCCATCCACCTCTCGCTCGCCGTGTTAGTGCTTCGCTTTAAAAAGCCTCCAGCTAGACACAGGTCCCCCTGGAGCTCCATCTTCAGCTCCCCATCTTTGGCAAGGCTGGCACCCACCATCTTCACAGCGCTGCCAGTTGTCCTGGTCATGGTCTCTGCATCCCCTGCAACGGAGCTGAGTTAATCTTATCACAAGGGAGAGTCTTGTCACGAGGTGATCTTATCATGAGAGCCATGGCTCTCTTCACAGCTATGCTCTCTAGTGTTTCTCTGCCCTGCCCAATGCTTTTCCAGCACCAAGGAGCCAGAAGCACACCGTGGCCAGCGTGCCAGGGTTTCCTCAGGGCTGCAGGCAGCAGAAATTCACCCTCTCCCCTGTGCCCAGCTTCAGGGTCTTGGGGATCTCAAAGGGCTGAGGGTCCCAGAGCTTGGTTGAAGCTTGAGCTGTCCCTGCAGCAGAGCAAGGTGCCGGGCCGTGCAGTTGCAGGGCTGTGTCTAATCTGTTCTCCTGTAGACCCGTGACCTTCAGCTAATCTCCTTTCCCCTCCGGGCGTTGCTTCCAGCTAGGGGCTCAGCAGGTGCTGCTCTGCTCTGCAGGGAGGCCACGTGTCCCATCCTCTTCCCTTCTGCAGGGTCACAAGTGTCCTTGCTTGTTTTCCTCCCCCTAGTGTCACCTCCTTGTCTCTAGCACTCATCTCTCACCTGTTTCTTCTCTAGGTTCTCATCCATCTGATCCTTCTTGAGCCTGTACTGGTTACACAGAGACTGTTTGCATCTTTTTTTTTTTTTTTCCCCCCTTTGCTTCTAGCCTTCAGATCAGCCATTTCCCTTCTTGCACCTCCAGGGTCCCAGCCTGATGTTGTCACCTTACCAGTGCTATTTAATTTAGGTCTCTGGACCATTTTCCTCTCTCCTTTGCCAGCCTGCCCTCCACTTTCATTCATAGCGGGGGCTGTTACCTGCCTTGGACGCTGCAGGTTCTTCATCGAGGTCCCTGCCTGTGTCTGGAGCACAGCTGTTTGGGACAGTCACCTCTCCTGCCCTTCAGCCCCATGCTCCTAGCTGCCTCCCCGCTCCCTCTCTGGGTCTGCTGCCTGCAGAGGTCCCCAGATGAAGCCGAGGAGCAGCTGGGCTGAGCCTGGCTCATTTTTCCTCTTGAAGCCTGTCTCCTCTTGTGGCACCCTCTCCTTCACGTCTCCTCCTCCCTCTCTGAACCCTGCACTAAGCAGACACAATCTCCCCCACCGTGGCAGCTGCCCCCAGCCCCTCCTGGCAGGGGCTGGTGCACGATGAGGGAGCAGCACCCACATCTGAGCCCGGGGAGGCTGCCAGAGCCCGGTGCCACCCGAGGAGGGGTCTCTGCTTACTGCTCCCCTCCGCTCTTCGAGGCTGTCCTCTCTCCTCCGTCTCACCTGGGGCAAACTGACCCGAATTAACCGCTGGCCTTCCGGGTGCTCTCGCTTCCCGGCCCAGCTGCCTCCTCTCACCCTCACCTTCTGCCTCCTCTCTCCCCCAAATTTGTCATTGCAGCGTCGCCTCCGCCCTGCACTCCGACAACCACGACCGCTACGAGCGCCTCACCTCCGTCTCCAGCTCCGTCGACTTCGACCAGAGGGACAACGTGAGTAGTGGCAGGAGGCAAAAGCAGGGGCTGAAATACCTGTGCGATGAATTTTCTGGGCATCCCCGGGCTGTGGAGAGCTTTTGTGCTCTCCGGAGGGGGGCCCCGGCTTTCCTGGGAGGCCAAGCTGCTTGGTGGGGGCCAGCCACGTGGCAGAGTCCAGGGAGAAGGGAGCGTGGAGTGACATGAGCCCCTCCTGTCTTCTCTCTTCACAGGGCTTCTGCTCCTGGCTGACGGCCATCTTCAGGATAAAGTAAGTGCCCCAGGACCTGCCTGCGGGTGGGGAACCAAAAGGAGAAAAAGCAGAGGCAGCACACGGGCTGGGACACAAACGGAGTCGTTCCCCTTGGGTGCCCTTCAGAGAGGGGGCTGCAGCAGGCTGTGTGGAGAGGACAGGAAAAGACAGGACTAGATGAGGAGTCCCAGAGCCAAACCCAAGGTGACAGAGGAGAAATCCCAGCCCAGGTCACCTCTGCCTCGATCTCATCTCAGAAACAGGCTGCTGCTCTCCCTGAGGCTCCTGCTAGGGGCACTGCTGTCCAAGGAAGGCCCATGGCAGCGAAAGGTGGACTGGAGGGTACAGAGAGACACATGCTGATGCTCAGGGGTGCTTTCCTAAGCATTTCGAGGTTTCAGAGCTCTGTGGGGCCGCATCAGCAAGGGGACAGATGGGACCCAGCATAAGGATGGGCATCAGGTGTGGCTCTCAGGGGCTCAGCTGCCCTGCAGAGGGCAGCAGCACGGGGAGCAGAGCTGCAGCAAGCTTTGCACCGCAGGCTTCTGCCTGCGCTGGTGCATGGCCAGGTGCTGGAGTCCCTCCCCAGGGCATGGCTGCAGCTCTAGGGCTTGATCCAGGGGTGTTGTGTGGGTTACAGGGGTGGTTTGTGGGTTCACAGCCGTCACCCAGCGCTTTCCTGCCTGCCCTCAGGTTGCTGGAGGAGGTTTCTTCACTGTCTTTCTTTCTCTCCCTGGCAGGGATGACGAGATCCGGGACAAGTGCGGGGGCGACGCGGTGCACTACCTGTCCTTCCAGAGGCACATCATCGGGCTGCTGGTGGCCGTGGGCGTGCTCTCCGTGGGCATCGTGCTACCCGTCAACTTCTCAGGGGACCTGCTAGGTGAGGGCAGGGAGCCCTGGTCCTGCCAGGGAGGAGCAGAGGCTGGGACGGGAGCAGCAGAGAGGAAACCCTGGGTCCTGTCCCACTTTGGGTTTGGGGTGTGCGTAGGGTTTGTCCTGGGCGGCTTGGGTTTTGGGGTGCTTTGCCCCAGCCCCTCGGTGTAACCGAGCGTGCCTGTCTGCCTTTCTCCCCAGAAAACAACGCTTACAGCTTTGGGAGGACGACGATCGCCAACCTGAACTCCGGGTAGGTGTGGGCAGGGATGGGGTGGGTACTGGTGGCCCTCAGGGTGCGTTTTCTGGATGCCCACGTGCTGCAGAGCCTTGCCTCCTCGAAGGCTGCGTTTCTGCCCTTCCTGTGAGGCTGCTGTCCCTGCTCCTACATCCAGACTGAGCTCCTGGAGGCTGTTGGCAGGGCTTGTGGGTGATGCCCTGCCAGGAACGCTCCTCCTGGCCCCAGAGGCTTTGTGGGGAGGTTCCTGAGGGCCAGGGCTGCGGTGGCAACCTCGTGCTGGCTTTAAGCACGGTCTCTCTCATGCCAGGAATAACCTGCTGTGGCTGCACACGTCCTTCGCCTTCCTGTACCTGCTGCTGACGGTGTACAGCATGCGCCGGCACACCTCCAAGATGCGCTACAAGGAGGATGACTTGGTGAGCAGGGCTGGGAGCTCGCCCAGGCTTCCTGGGCCTCCTGTCAAGTTGGGCAGCCTGGGAGAGGGTGCCAGGCACCCCCGCTTCCCGCAGCAATTTGGGGCTGGCATGTTCTGCCTGCTCCAGAGCAGCAGTCCTGATGCCGTGCAGGGGAAATGAGAGAGACCTGAGCTGGGTGGGCATGTGGCGTGCCCTATGTCTTCCTCAGGAGTTGCTCCAGCTGCTGTGTGGGTTTGGGGCTCTTCTCCAGTTGTTTTTGCCTTGTTTCATACTATAACATCCCTGTTTCTGAGGCGGCTGCAGTGTGAGCCCCCACCCCATCAACCTGCAGCACGTCAGGGTATGAAATGCCGACAGCTAGCAGCAGCACAGGAGGTGGGGAGCAAAGATTCTGCAAGCGTGGGGGCTGCCTTCTCCCACTGCTAGCTCAGGCCAGGGCCTTGGGGTTTTCTTTTTTTTCTGCAGTCTGGTCTTTCATGCCACCCATACCGATCTGCATTCTCTTCCTTCCAGGTGAAGCGAACTCTCTTCATCAATGGGATTTCAAAATATGCCGAGCCAGAAAAGATCAAGAAGCATTTTGAGTGAGTCTGACTGTGTTCCTAATTAAAGGCTGCTCTGTAAAAAAAAAAAACAAAAAAAACCATATATATATATATATATATATATATATATATATATTTTAGTGGAGTGGTGCTAGTGTTACCTGAAATAGCAATAATACATCGAGGTGAGGAGGGGGAAGCAGTCCGAATCAGTGACCACTTTCATTTTGGGCATCCTGCTGCGATTTTTCTGTGCAAATTTTTATCCCAATATGCAGCATTTTGGGACGTGCCCAGCTATATCTTGCAGAGCCGTAGGGGGTCAGCATGGTAAGTAGTGAGACAGGGCACGTGATGAGAAGGGCTCAGCTTCAGAGCTGTGAGAAGCAGGCAGGAGGCGCTCCAGCAATAGCTGTGGGATGCTTCGCTGCTGCCTTGGCATTGATCACGCTCCTTGTAGAAAACTGCATTCTCTTTTTTAACTGAACCCCTAAAAAAGAAAAGTTTCTCTTCCGTTGCCCCACACGTTGCTCCCAAAAGAGGGAGCAGAGCCTGCTGCTCTCCTGCTTTCCAAGCTTCTGCTGATGCTCAGCCCGTGGCAGGAGGAAGGGCTGAAGGTGTGGGCTTTGTTTTGAGGTGCAGCTCTGATGCAGTGTGTGAGGGGCTGGTTTTCTCTGTCTGCAGGGAGGCCTATGCCAACTGCACCGTGCTGGAGGCGCGTCCCTGCTACGATGTGGCCCGGCTGATGTTCCTGGATGCGGAGAGGTAAGCAGCCCCTGGTTTGGGGGAGAGGGCAGGGCTGGGGTGAGGGTACACGGGAGGTGGGGAGCGGGTTCTTCCCAGCTGCTTCTCCTTCGAATCTTGTGCAATGAAAGCTTTTCTGAGCACCTTTTTTCTTTCCACTCTCCCGCTTCAGAAAGAAGGCTGAGCGCGGGCGAATCTATTTCACCAACCTGCAGGGCAAGGAGAACACCCCATCTATGATCAACCCTAAGCCCTGCGGCCACCTGTGCTGCTGTGTCATCAGGGGCTGTGAGGAGGTATGTGGAGAGCTGGAGACGCTGGGCAGAAGGGTTAACGTGAGCATTGGGTCCTTGTACTGCCCACACTGGCTGGCGTCCCCAGGTCTCTGCTCTAACCTCTGTCCCTCTGCCCAGGTGGAGGCAATCGAGTACTACACAAAGCTGGAGGAGAAACTCAAAGACGACTACAAGCGGGAGAAGGAGAAGGTGAACGAGAAGCCTTTGGGGATGGCCTTCGTCACCTTCCACAACGAGACCATCACAGCCATGTGAGTCTTGCAAGGGGTTCTGCCAGGAAGGTGGTGTCTCACAGCTCTTCCGTGAAATCAGATCCCAGCCACAGGGCGTTCACCTCAACGTGTCCCTGCTAGCCCTGTGTGTCACCATCTCCACTGTTCTCTTCTCCAGAATCCTCAAAGACTTCAACGCTTGCAAGTGCCAGGGATGTGCGTGCCGCGGGGAGCCCAAGGCCTCTTCCTGCAGCGAGTCCCTTCATGTTTCCAACTGGACTGTCAGCTATGCTCCTGACCCGCAGAACATCTACTGGTGAGCAGCTGTGGGGTTCTTTGGGTCCCCAGTGATGGGAAAGGGGTGCACCCTCACACTCTGATAGCTAAAGGAGTTGTTCTTGCCTGGCTGAGCCAGAGTTGGGCACTGACTTAGAAGGGGAAAGCTTGGGATCGTGCCCCAGGCCCTGTTGATGCAGGCTGGGCTGTGTCGTGAACGTGTGTGAGGCTCGGTGTGGCTGTTCCTGATGCCCTCTTCCCCCCTCACCCCACCCAGGGAACACCTCTCCATCCGGGGCTTCATCTGGTGGATCCGCTGCCTGGTGATCAACGTGGTCCTCTTCATCCTCCTCTTCTTCCTCACCACCCCTGCGATCATCATCACCACGATGGACAAGTTCAACGTCACCAAGCCTGTGGAGTACCTCAACGTAAGGCCTTCGGAAAAGGGCACGGGATGGGGAGCACTGAACCCACCACCCTGAGGCACAGCAGCCCCTGCAGGGGAAGGGACAGTGAGATTGTCAGCGTGCCTCAGGTCCCTTCAGCCTTGAGAACAAGAGAGGTGTCCCCAGGAAAGGGCTAGCACCCTGCCACATGTTCCCAGCCTCCAGAAGGGGTGCTAAGCCTGGCCAGGGTGCGGTGGCTGCTGGGGACTCTGCATCAGCAAAGGCAGCTCCTGTGACGGGCACGAGAGCTGCCACATCACGTGTAACGCGTGGTCTCTTCTCTTCCTCGTTGCAGAACCCCATCATCACGCAGTTCTTCCCCACGCTGCTGCTGTGGTGCTTCTCAGCTCTGCTGCCCACCATCGTGTATTACTCGGCCTTCTTCGAAGCGCACTGGACCAGGTAAGAGCAGCCAGTGCCTGGCATCTTGATGCTCCCCGCTGATGGAGAGCTGCTGACTGGTTCCTCTCGCTTCAATTCCTGTCGTCCACCCCCAGCGCGGTGTCTTGTGGCACCTCTTGGTCACCTTGGGGTCTGCTGCTCTTCTGCCAGCCCTTAGCTGGGTGTTGCACAGTATTGGGGTTATTTGAGCGGAGCTTGATGTACATTTGCAAGAGGAAGGCTGGGAGGAGTTGGGGACAAAGGTAATGAGAAATGCAGGTAGTAAGGGAAAGTCTTGGCTGAGGTGAGCGTGCAGGTGTGGTGTGCCTGTACCCGTGTGTAGGACGTAGCTTTTCCAAGGGATACCTTGGAGGGAAAGGGGCATATTCACCATGTGTGAGAACATAAGCTCCTTTCACCTGGCGTCTCTGGCAGCTGCAGATTACTGAAGCTGCTTATTCTCAATAACAATTGCAAATTAAAAGTGACATTTAAAAAAAAAAAAGTGACATTAAAAGTGACAATTTTAATGGCCTTCTCTCTGCCCCCAGGTCTGGAGAGAACAGGACCACCATGCACAAGTGTTACACCTTCCTCATCTTCATGGTCTTGCTGCTGCCCTCGCTGGGCCTGAGCAGGTAGGTGTGGAGGGAAAGGTAAGCAAGCAGAGACCTGGAGCGTGGAGAGGGCTGAGATGCACCTCTGGTGGTCCTCCTGCAATGCCTCCTCACCCTGCTTGCACAAATGTCCCAGCCACCCTTCCCTGGGTGTTCCTAGAAAGGCAACAAACCCTGAGGTGGCTGATGGATGCACATAAAAAGCCTTGTTGAGGCCTGCTGGTGAAGGAGATTCTTCCCACATCTGTTTTACTTGTGCTCACTTTTACACAAAAGTAGCAAATTCCCCCACTTGAGCCAGAACTGAGGACGTCATACTGCTCGGCTGGGTGGTCTTCCTATTTGTAGGCTGCAGAAATGTGAATCCTGCTGGATGCAAGCCCCAAATCCTCCTGCAGGGGTTATAGAAATGTCCTGTGACAGGGGGGCTTCAGCTGCCAGGAATCAGCATGGGCTCAGCACTGACAGGGAGCAAAGCACAGCAGCTGTGCAACAAAGAGAGGAAAACTGGGAGGTGGAAGCACGATGGGGGGGGGATCTACTGTGACAGGGAGTTCTTTATGCATTGCGGGGTGGGGAATCTACATCCCATAAATTCAGGGTACAGACCCTCGGTGGCTAAATTGGGTGGTTTTTGAGAATAGAGAAGCCTTCCAACAGAGATAGAAAAGCTGCCTTTCATTGCAGGGGGGTGACTACAGCAAAGTTTCCCCGCCAGGTTTAAAATGTCCTGCTGCTTTTAGCCTTGTGCCCTAGGCAGGTAAATGTTCTCCCAGGATTTGCATTTTGGCTGTGTCCCAGCAAACAGGTCACGCTTCTTTCCGAGGACAAAATCAGTCCCGCTGCTGCGTGGGGATCTCTGTGCTCCGCTGAAATCCTGGCCCTAGAGGTGCCAGAGGATTGTACAGTTCTATATCAAAAAATATAGAATTGAAGGGGAATGAGATTTGTTCTTTTTTTCTTATTTCTGTGCCTGAGGTTACCATGTACCTGAGTGATTTCTCCTGTGGTCACTAACCCATGGTTGTTTTACCCAAACAACCTCTGCCAGGAGCAGAGAGGGAAATACTGATGGGATTAGGGTGAAGGGAGAACACGTGTGAGAATGGGAAGTTTTGCATCCCTTTTTGCGTCCTGTAACTGGTTTTCCCAGCGTCTGATTTACATAAATGCCAATGACATATCCCAAGAGGGAACAATAAGGCCTGTGGTCAGAGCTCTGGGCCTTTTTAGAGCAGTTTCCATACATTTGCATGTCTATGTCCGTATGCCACCGCTTCCGACTGTTTCTCTTCTCTTCCCACCCCCTTCCCCCACAGCTTGGATGTGTTTTTCCGCTGGCTCTTCGACAAAAAATTCCTGGCTGAAGCCACAGTGCGATTTGAGTAAGTGGGGCAGGGAAGAAAGCCCCTTCTTTGCAGCGGGGATGGGGGGGGGAGGTTCCTGGCAGCCTCCAGAGGCAGCACCCAGGACCTGGGTGCGTGGCGGGGCAGGGGAGCATCTCCTGCAGCCTGCTGTGCTCCCCAGGTGCGTGTTCCTGCCCGATAACGGGGCTTTCTTCGTCAACTACGTCATCGCCTCTGCCTTCATTGGCAACGCCATGGACCTGCTGCGCATCCCCGGCCTGCTGATGTACATGATCCGCCTCTGCCTGGCCCGCTCGGCCGCCGAGCGCAGGAACGTCAAGCGGGTGAGTGGCGGGGCTGGGGGCGCTTTGGGGTCTCCCCAAAAGGTGCTGTGCCAGGGGCCGTGCGCCCTGGGGCTCGCCAAGGGCTGGGGGTTGCCCCCACAGCTGAGTCTCTGCTCTCTCCGGCAGCACCAGGCCTACGAGTTCCAGTTTGGGGCTGCTTACGCCTGGATGATGTGCGTCTTCACCGTGGTCATGACCTACAGCATCACCTGCCCCATCATCGTCCCCTTTGGTAAGCGACATCCCTTTGCCTCCCCGCTTTGGGGTGAATTATTTCCCGCTGCCCTGAGGCGCTGGGAAAGAGGCAGCTTCCCTCCTGCCACCTCTCCCCTCTCTCTCCCTCAGGGCTCATGTACATGCTGCTCAAGCACCTGGTGGACCGGTACAACCTGTATTATGCCTACCTGCCTGCCAAGCTGGACAAGAAGATCCATTCCGGGGCTGTGAACCAAGTGGTGGCTGCCCCCATCCTCTGCCTCTTCTGGCTCCTCTTCTTCTCCACCGTGCGCACGGGTGAGCGCTGGGCTGGGAGGCGTCCAGCCGGGCTGCAGGTGGCCTCCCCCTGTCCGTCGGGCTCTGGCAACCTAACGTTGGCTTTTATTTGCCTCAGGGTTCCTGGCCCCCACTTCCATGTTCACCTTTGTGGTCCTCGTGATCACCATCGTGATCTGCCTGTGTCACGTCTGCTTCGGGCACTTCAAATACCTCAGCGCTCACAATTACAAGGTGAGCTGGGCTGCTGCCTGGGGGCCCTTCCCCTGGGGGTGCAGCCGAGCAGTGAAATGGGCTTGGGGGCAAATTGGGATGTCCCAGCCTGGTCCCTGGCAGGGCATCTCTTCACCAGCTTTGTGGCAAAGGTTCCCAAGGAACCTTTACCATGCGTGTGCTGCTCCCGTACCTGTGCAGAGGTCAAGGGCAGCCTTGCTGGAGTGCGGCTCCTACAAATGCATCTCCTCAACTTTCTCTTAATCTCACCTTTTCCTCTCCAGATCGAACACACAGAGGTGGACACCATAGAAAGCAGGCAGAACGGGAGACCTGCCACTAATCTGCCGGCTCCCAAATCCACTGTGAGTTCCTGTCCCTACCTCCCTGCCCTGGCGCACTGCTCTCTGGGGGTTTAGGAAAGGGGGAGGCAACATCCAGAGACTTTTTCTCCTTGCTTCTCACCTTTCTGAGGCAGCACCCACAATCTCCCAACAGGAGTGGGAGGCAGGTGTCGCTCACCTGAGCTGGGTGATGAGTTGTAACCATCTTCGGGCTCCTTAATGCTCAACCTCTTCCTTGCACAGTGCAAGGAGGTCTCACAGCTGCCCGTGCTCACCGTCTTTCTGCTGTCCCCCTCCTTTTGCCCCAGCAGAAGTACATCGCCCAAGTGCTGCAGGACTCCTCCCCGGAGGGTGAAGCGACCGAGTCGGAGGAGCAGGGGTCGCAGGACGAGGAGCTCATCACCGCCGATGGCATGAACGACACGGATTTCCAGTCATGTGAGGACAGCCTGATAGAGAACGAGATCCGCCAGTAGGGACTGCGGAGGGAGGGCAGGAGGGAGGAGAGGGGATGGAGGCCCAGGAGCGGGGCAGGCTGCGCCCACCCAGACCGGCCGAGAGAAACCCAAGGGAGCGCAGAGATGGGGAGGGGGCCACCCGCAGCCCTCGCCCACCCCTGGGGCCACCACCTTCAGCAAGGGCAGGGGCCCTGGCCCTGGCTCTCCGCTTCCCTGCCTCCACCTCCCCGCCGCTCTGCGGGCTTGCTCTTCATTAGCTACCTTCGTTAACACGTACCCGGACCGCAGACCCCCCAGGGGCTGGGGAGGAAGGGACCATGACCCTGCCAGCACCCCAGGAGAGAGAAGGGAGGCTGGGTGCTTTGGGGAGGGCTCTGGGGACAAGGGGCACCGCCGGGGCCTCATTGGCTTCCCCTTCTGTCCCCCGTCCTCCTGGTGAGAAACAGAAACACTAATAATTTATTAGATTTGCAGGAAGGTGACAAACGAAGCTTTAATTGATGTCTTGGAAGCCCCCCGTAGGAAGATGGGGTAACTTTGTTCCACCTGCACGTGCAGTGCTGTCTTCCCTCCTCCCCGTGCCCGCGTGTCCCCGTGGGGTGACGTGCTAGGTGCTGGGGAGGGGGGGATGGAGAAGTCCCCCAGGGGGCAGGTGACAGCCTCACCCTGCTGGGGGACTGCTGGGGGAGCAGCACGGGGGCAGCCCCTTGCAGGGTGAGGGGTGCCCAGGGTGCTTCTCGCAGGCAGGAGGAGGCGCAGGCAGCCTCTCCCCTAAATCGTGCCCCCTGCTCCCCGGGGGCACGGCTGGGGGACTGCAGCATCATTTTAAGTGGCATTTTTTTGCACATTTTTCCTCCCCTTTCGAGCGAAAACCAACCTGACTTCTGTGGCAGACCGTGGATCCCCTTTCTGCCCTGTGTCTGCACCGCAGGGTCAGGTGCAGGAGGGCTGTTTTGGGGGTCTCCTGGGTGCTATGGTGAGGGGAGAAAAGGGTTTAGGCTACAGCTCTTTGGCCCTGTGCAGCCCTGGGCTGCTTCACCTGCCTGGGGCTGTTCCTTGCCTGCTTCTGCCCTCGTGTCCCCTCTCTGGTGATAGCTGTGTCCTGGGGACAAGAAGGATGGGAGAGGGGCCCTGGGTGGCTGCGGAGGTGGGCAGGGGCAGGAGAGGTGGCCTGGAGCCCCTGGCACCTGTGTGGAGGTTCTTGTGAGGAGGTTTCTGGTCAGCACCCGTTGCCCTCGATTGCTTTCCCCTCCTCCCCTTGTGTAAAATGTAAAGGAAAATAATAAATCTCCCTGCTACTGAGCTATATTTATTTCCCTCAGCCCCCCGCCACCATCCTGTTTGGTGCTCATCGCTGACACTGCCCCTTCCCTCTGCCCAGTGCCTGCGGGGCCCGCTCCTGCTCTTCTGGCTCGCTGGAGCTGTGCCCCACAGGCCCTGATGGGGCCGTGGGACAGGGGTTTTACCTTTTTCAATCACCAACTCTGGCCCTGGAGCTCAAAGCACTTTACGGACCCGAACAAGAGCAGCGTCAGCCCTCCCCGGCCCTGCTGCGGGGACAGGCCCTCGCCACCCCCGGCTTATCCCCCCTCATCCCTTGTTAGAAGAGGGGATCCTGAGACATGGGGCTGCGCCGGGGAGGGTAGAGCTGACGTCCCTGTACACCTCTCTATAGGATCCCCAGGCCCAGAGGGAAAGGGGGCGTGGAGGGGATGAAATGTGGGTCCTGGAGGTGTGGAGAGGGCAGGCCGGGGCTGGAGCACGTGCTGGTGTGGAGAAGTGTGGTGTTTGAAGCCAGCCCTTCCAGGGGTGGGCACGTGAGATGGGAGCTCCCCGCCGGGTCCCAGGCTGGGGCAAGGAGGATATTGATCCTATATCCGTGTCTGTGCCCCCGCCTGCTGCCCGTGCCCCCCACCCTGCCCAGGGTGCCCCCGTCTCTGTGCCTGCAGCCCTGGGACGCTGCCCATGGAGACCTGCGTTGGGATTGGCACTGTCTGTGTAGAGATGTGTATAATACCCTGTATATATTTGTGTACAAAAGAAAAGAAACCAAAAAAAAGGAGCTATTGTTCTCGTGGTCTTCCTTTGCGCAGCGGGGGGGAGCTGGCAGGGAGGGGAGGCTGCAGCAGGGCTGGGAGCATGCGTGCTGCACGGGACCGGGGGCTGGCGGGCTCCTATTGTGTCTGCAAACCCTACACAGGGCCTGTGGGCTCTCAGTGTGTCCTGCAAGGCTCCGTGTCCATCCTAATGCTAAATGTGTATGGGGAGCTGCATCTGGTGGGGTTGGGGTGGGTGTAGCAGGTATCACCCCAGCAGCGGGGTGCGTGGTGCTCAGTAGGGCGCCCACCGCGCACCCCCAGCTCTCTCCCCACTTGGGGACAAAAATCCTGGCTTCCCGCAGGGCAGGATTAGAGGAGACACCACAAAGCCGCTTAGAGGGCTGCCAAGGTTAGGGCTGAACCGATCCGGGCAGGGCCACCGCCCGCATAGCGCAGCGCTGAGTCACGGAGGGGGGGGACAGGACACGCGTGGGGTGGGTGGGCGAGCGGGGAGCCCGGCCCCGGGGCTGCTCCTTGAACGCCACCTCCCACAGCCACATCCCAGAGCCCTCCCTCCGCCGGGCCGAGCCGGGCAGGGCCGTGCCGAGCCGGGCAGGGCCGGGCAGGGCGGTGGCAGCTTCCGTGGGGGGCGAGCGGTGAGTCCCTGCGTGTCCCCCACGTCCCCGTGGGGGGACCCAGCCGTGCGCCTCCGTGCTGCGTCCTCCGGGGGGTGGCAGCGGGGTTTGGGGGCTGTGGGTTTTTTTTGGGGGGTCTCCGGGATTTAGGGGGGGTCTCTGGGGTTTTGGGAGGGTCTCTGGGATTTTTAGGGGGTCTCAGGGATTTTGGGGGGGTCTCCGGGCAGGTGGTGCCCGGCGCTGCCCACCCGGTGCCGTGTCCCGCTCTGGTGGGCAGCCCCGCAGAGCCCCCCGCTTGTGGCCGGGCGTTTTGTGGTGTGGAAAGCCAGCCTGGGGCTGGGATCCTCTCCAAGCCGCTGTCTGCATTTCCCTGCTTGGCGTGGGGCCGGCAGCATCCCGGCATCACCCTGGGGAAGCCCCCCACCCCACATCCCACCGCCCCCACGCCTCCGTCCCACCCGTGGGTCCGCAGCCTTCCTCCCCGCTCTGCGCCTGCGTGACCCCGGCCTGCCGCCCGCCACAACCTCTGTGGGTATTTGCAGTAACAGGGCTAAGAATAACCCACACCGTGCCCGCGTCCCCAAAGGAAGCTCAGCCTGGAGTGTGAAGGGGCTGAGGCTCACGGTGCCGGTGCTGTCAGCCCCACAGCCTGCACCCCGTCCCGCTGCGCCCCTCCTCGCGTCACCCAGCGCTGAGGAAGGGCCATCCCATCCCGCCTCTTCCTTCCCTCGCCACCCGACATGATGCGGGGCCTCGCGGCTCCCCGAGGCGCTCCTCCCTTCCCCGTCCCGTTGTTGACTCAATGCTCAGGCTCTCCAGGCAGAGGAACAGCCCGGCGGGCGAGGAGGAGCCAGCGTGCGGGATGGGGAAGGTCCCTGCGAGTCCAAAAAGCGGCGCCGGGAGCCAGACGCAAGCTCCTCGAGCCTCCAAGGGAGAGGCTCAAATCACTGGGATGGAGCTTGGGGAGGTGCTCCCGAAGCCAGGTCCTGCTCGTGGGGGCTGCCACGGCCTCACGGTGCCCGTTTCTCCGCAGGGAGCGGAGGCGGAGGTAGCGCAGCCGGTGCCCAGCCATGCTGCCCTTCGGGGGGATCGCCGCCCGGCTGGAGCGGGACCGCCTGCGAGCCGAGGGGGTGGGCCAGCACCACAACGCCGTCAAGTACCTCAACCAGGACTACGAGGCCCTCAAGCAGGGGTGCATCGAGAGCGGGACCCTCTTCAGGGACCCCCAGTTCCCGGCCGGCCCCTCCGCCCTCGGCTTCAAGGAGCTGGGGCCGCACTCCAGCAAGACGCGGGGGGTGGAGTGGAAGCGCCCCTCGGTAAGCTTTGGGCTCGCTGCTCGGCGCGTTGGGCTCCTATCCCCCGCCTGCAGCATCTGCATTGACGCGGTTTGCCAAGCTGCAGCCTGGCTCTGGCCTGCTCCTCGCCGTGCTCGAGTCTCTGGGTGTTTCACCCAAGGAAACAGAGCGGTGCCCAGGAGAGCATCGACCGCGGGGGGCCGCCCTCTGATTCTCTCCTCCTCCTGCAGGAGTTGGTGGGTGACCCTCAGTTCATCGTTGGCGGTGCAACCCGGACGGATATCTGCCAGGGGGCTCTGGGTGAGTGCTGGGGATCTGTCCTTGGGTTTGGGACCGAGGAGCAGTGCCTTTCTGTGAACCATCCCCGTACGCCTTCCCCAGGGGTGTTGCCCAAGCCAAGGGGCTGAGGCAAGGAGCAAAGGGCTGGGAGGGCTGGTAACTGCAATCCTGGGGCTATCAAAACCAGTTTTGGCTGCCTTCAGCAGCATTTTCCTGATCCCGATCAAGCTGAGCACCCTAGCACAGCACTCTGGTTTCAGGACTGACCACACTGAATGCAGCCAGCAATTTGGACAAACCTGCGGCGGTACCTGGAGCGTGTCACAGCCCAGAGCATTTCCGTGTTTCTCAGTCGGTCACTAGGAGGGCAGAGTTTGAAGCGCTGTTTTGTCTAAACACAGCCCCGCACAGGTTACCCAGGCTCAGGGCTGGTGTATGACAGGCTCTAGAGGCGAAAGAGGAAGGGGAAACTGAGGGAAAGAATTTAGAAACGAGTGCTGGCCTCGAGCAGCGCTTGCGGTTAAGAGCTCTTGGAAGGAGAAGTGCGGGGTTATTTCTTGCAGCTCGAAGCCAGGGCACCGGTGCTAAACGTCTCGCTTGGGGAGTGAAAACAGGGAAACTTTTCTTTAAATGCCAAGCAAATTCGCCCTGCAGAGCTCACTGTCCTGAGACATGGAGGGCATCCAGGCAGGTCTAGACAAAGGGCTGCGGGAGGGGCTGTTGGTGCTGACTGTGTTGGTGCTGACACAGGCCGGGGAGGTTTGTTTGGCCAGGAGGGTTGTTCCCTCTCTGCCTTGAGCTAGCGCTGCTTTCCCAGCACCTGCTGTTACTCCACGTGGGCTAGGAGCGAGGTTCACTGCCAGAGCTGGCCGTGTGGCAGGGGAACGGGCTGCTGGTGGAGACACCCGAGAGATTGGAGACCCACACAGCCAGTGTGCAGGCTGAATGAGCCGCCTCCACCCCCTGGCGAAGGCTCACGCCGTTTTCCTCGCCGTTTTCCTCTCCTTGCCCAGGCGACTGCTGGCTGCTGGCTGCCATCGGCTCCCTCACGCTCAACGAGGAGCTCCTGCACCGCGTGGTGCCCCACGGGCAGAGCTTCCAGGAGGACTACGCCGGCATCTTCCACTTCCAGGTGGGCTGGGGGCAGGACGGGCGATTTTGGGGCACGCTCAGGGCGCCCCTCCGTCCTGCTCACCCCTGTCTTTTTCCCCCAGATCTGGCAGTTCGGCGAGTGGGTGGACGTGGTGGTGGACGACCTGCTGCCCACCAAGGACGGGGAGCTCCTGTTCGTGCACTCCGCGGAGTGCACCGAGTTCTGGAGCGCTCTGCTGGAGAAAGCCTACGCCAAGTGAGTCCCACGGCAGCGGGCACCGGGGCCGGAGGGGACGTGTCCCCATCGCCTCACGTGCCCCCCTCTCGCTGCCCCGCGCTCAGGCTGAACGGCTGCTACGAGGCGCTTTCGGGGGGCAGCACCACCGAGGGCTTCGAGGACTTCACCGGCGGCGTGGCGGAGATGTACGACCTCAAGCGGGCGCCGCGCAACATGGGCCACATCATCCGCAAGGCGCTGGAGAGGGGCTCCCTGCTGGGCTGCTCCATCGACGTAAGGGCTTTCGCCGGGACGCCGGGTGGGAGGTGACTCCTTTCTCCTCCTAGCAGAGCGCCCGTGGGCACGGAGGCTACGCCCTGGTGCCTGGGAACGGTCTCTCTTTATTGGGGTTGGAGATGTCCATCTGCAGCCAGGCTGCTGAGCAAGTGCCTAGAGCTCTGGCCAAGTCTTGGGTCAACATCTGCAGATCACCTGGGGTGGGCTCTGTCATCTGCTCCCTCTCGGCTACAAACAACACGGCACATCATCCCCATCACCGCTGACAGCCCTACCCCTTGGATTTGCAACTCATTTCACGTTTCGTTCAGTTTGCAAATTGCCACCGTGGTGCGTTGCGTAACCTCCGCGGAGATTTGTAACCCACAATCTCTGCTCCTAGTGACACTTCTGTGGCTGGGGAAGCACGAAACCTTGTCTTATGCTTTCTGAAGTTTGGGTGGTTTCGTGGTGGGTCTTCAGGGCCCTCCAGCAGAGAAACTATCTTGAAATCGTCCTCGGTCAGCAGCGTTTGAGTACAGGGAGCTCCTTCCCGTGGCTGGAGCATTACAAAGCATGGGTCATTCTCCATGCAGTCTCTCAAACTCCCCTCAAAAAGGGTGGGGATCGACCTGCATGAATTTGATCATATTCACCTGAGCTTCGCATGTTCTTTTCAGATCACGAGTGCCTTTGATATGGAAGCGGTGACCTTCAAGAAGCTGGTGAAGGGCCATGCCTATTCCGTCACAGCCTTCAGAGATGTGAGTTGGCTACGGGAGACCTTAACAGCCCTAAAACGCCGTGCCCAGTGGCACGGGTTTAACTTCTTGCATCTGATGACTGGCAGGTGAACTACCGGGGTCAGCAGGAGCAGCTCATCCGCATCAGGAACCCCTGGGGCCAGGTGGAGTGGACGGGAGCCTGGAGCGATGGGTGAGTCCAGCTGGGAGCGCACACAGCCCTGTGTGGCACCGCTGAGGGGAAGCTCGCAGCACCGAGGTTGCCTCAGTTCGCCTTGAGGAGTCTGATGGTCTGTGCCGATTATTCCAGCTCCCCCGAGTGGGACAACATCGACCCCGGCGACAGGGAAGAGCTGCAGCTGAAGATGGAGGACGGAGAGTTTTGGTGAGTGCCAGAGCTTTGGGCTGCTCTTCCTCGGCATCCAGCTTGGCAACGAGCAGAGGAGCCCAGGAGAGATCTTAGTGCTTCTAAAGCTCGTGACCTGCCTTTGTCATCGGTGTTTCCACTACCAGCAAGCCTGTAACGTTTTCCTACCTGCTCTAGTTAATGATTCCCCTTCCCTCAAGGAAATTAAGCACTAACTAATTCCTAAGAAGTTCAATCATCCCTTATGGCACAGACCCAGCTCTGGGCTTTAAACGAGTTGTGGCTGCTCGGTGTAGGTGATCTTGGCACCCTGTAATTCTCTCCAAACCTTGGCTGTGACTCTTCGAGTGGCCAAAGAGGGAGCCCAAACACTTGGAAATGCAGGGTGAGCAGGAAGGAGTTCCCTGCTTCTTACCAAACCAGGAAAACGAAGGGGTTCCCAGCGAGCAGCAGCTCAGGCAGGTGTTGGAAGCCTGCTGTGGGACTCCGTGCTGCGGGGTGGTTTGGAGGCTCAAAGAGCGAGGTTCATGGGGTGAAGGGCTGCAGGGGTGCCACCCCCAGCACCGACAGCCTGGCTGGTGAGCCTTAGCTCACCACAGGGCACCCAGCGTTCAGCTCACCGCCCTGAGAAGGGGTTTGGGGTGGTTCCCACCGACTTTTTCCACCTGGTAAAGGCAGCCACAGCCGAATCCAGAGCTGCTTGCGTTCCCCAGCCGTGGCCTGGCCTCAGCCCCTGCCTGCTCGCCCGCAGGATGTCTTTCCGGGACTTCATGCGGGAGTTCTCCAGGCTGGAGATCTGCAACCTGACCCCCGACGCCCTCACCAAGGACGAGCTCAGCAGGTGGCACACGCAGGTGTTCGAGGGCACGTGGCGCCGGGGGAGCACTGCTGGGGGCTGCAGGAATCACCCAGGTACCTCACCCCCCGGCAGCTCCATCCTTGGTGGCATCACCGAGCCGGGTATCTCACCCCGATGTCCTCCTTCCTCGCAGCCACCTTCTGGATCAACCCCCAGTTCAAGATCAAGCTGCTGGAGGAGGACGACGACCCCGGGGACGACGAGGTGGCCTGCAGCTTCCTGGTGGCCCTGATGCAGAAGCACCGGCGGCGGGAGCGGCGCCTGGGGGGCGACATGCACACCATCGGCTTCGCGGTCTACGAGGTAACCCCCACCCCGCCGCCACCTCCCCGCACCTCGGGCACCCCTCCTGGCGCCCTGAGAGAGAGGGTGCGGGTCCAGGGGTTCTCATTTTCCACTTTCTCTTCTCCCCACAGGTTCCTGAGGAGGTACGACCTCGGACACAGCTCTGGGGACTGGGATTGCCAGCGGGCTGGCGGCGCTGAAGGGTGCAGGGCGGATTGACGTGGGATGGGGACCCCGCAGGTCCCCATCGTGCAGGGCTGTTGCCCACGAGCGTGTGTGCCCTCCCCCAGGCCCAGGGCAGCCAGAACGTGCACCTGAAGAAGGATTTCTTCCTGCGCAACCAGTCGCGGGCGCGCTCCGAGACCTTCATCAACCTGCGGGAGGTGAGCAACCAGATCCGGCTGCCCCCCGGCGAGTACATCGTGGTGCCCTCCACCTTCGAGCCGCACAAGGAGGCCGACTTCGTGCTGCGGGTCTTCACCGAGAAGCAGTCGGACACGGCGTGAGTCCCCGCTTCAGGGCCTCCTGCCACCTCCCACACCTGTGGGACCAGATGGCCCCGTGCCCCTGAGCCAGACCCCACAGCCCTCCCCTCACTCTTTTTCCCCCCTTTGTGCCCCCCAGGGAGCTGGACGAGGAGATCTCCGCAGATCTGGCCGATGAGGTAGGGGCCGCCGCTCTCCTTCAGCTGGCGCCGAGGCTTTGGGGCCGGGAGCTGTGGGCAGGAGGTGGCCCTGTGGGTTTGGGGTGTTGTGTTTGCTCGCTGAGCTCCCTTTCTGGCTGCAGGAGGAGATCACCGAGGATGACATTGAGGATGGCTTCAAGAACATGTTCCAGCAGCTGGCAGGGGAGGTGGGTACGGCCGTGCCACGCCAAGCTTTGGGAAGACCCCGGCAGGGCCCTGGGGTGGCGAGGGGACGGGACCCTTGGCCATCAGGCTGCAGAGAGCAGGGGCTTCCTAAAAAAGGGCTCCTGGGGACTCTGGTGATGTCCTGGGGGCTTTTGGTACCACCCACCAAAAAGCAGATGCTGCAGCTCAGCCCAGCTGTCCCCAGGGTGTGCTGGGAGCAAGATTTTGGGGAAGGGGAGGTCAGATGTGGCCCAGGCTCTTCAAACCATGCAGGGCACGTGGTGGTGCCCTGCTGTGCTGTGAAAAAGGCAGGGATGTGCGGGCAGAAATGTGGGAAGGAGCGGGGTGAGGAGCAGGGTGCTGCTAACACTGCTGCTGCTGCTGCTGCAGGACATGGAAATCAGCGTCTTCGAGCTCAGGACCATCCTGAACAGAGTCATCGCGAGGCGTGAGTGCTGCCCTCCTTCCCCTCTGTTCCCCGGGGCCCCATATTGTGTTTTGATGCACGTATCCCTTCCTCCTCCTCCTCCTCCTCCTCAGACAAAGACCTGAAGACGGACGGGTTCAGCCTGGACTCCTGCCGCAACATGGTCAACCTGATGGATGTATCCTCTTGGCGCCACGGGCAGGGGACAGCTTTCCTGGCAGGCAGCCTGGCGCCTGGGAAACTTCTCCGTGGGAACTGGGGCTGGGCTGCCCGGCCGTGCCAGGGCTGGGAGGCTGGGGAAAGGGGGAAGGGGTCCTCGTGGCCGCACCGAGGGTGCTCCAGGGGTGGCTGCGTGGAGCCACGGGCTCCGAGAAGCGGCTCCGAGCCCTTCCCCAGCCATGCCCTGTGGCATCCCGTTTGCACGCCAGCCTGTTTTTGCCCTGTGCTCCCTGCAGACAACGTGTAGCCAAATTTCCTGGTGAGTGGCACCACGGCTGGTTTAAGCATTGAGCTGCCCTTGGGCTGGCAGGCTCTGATTTTGCTTGTGCAGCAGGATGGAGAGGGGAAGGTGGAAAAAAAAGCTGGGCATGGCCTGGCTGAAACGCTTCCTCTCGCCTAAAGAGGCCAGGATCTGCTCGCTTCGCCCTCCCTGTGCCTGCTCTGCTCCTCCACCCCTCTGCTCCCCAATTTCTCCTTGACCCTGTGCTCCCAGAAGGACGGCAGCGCCCGCCTGGGGCTGGTGGAGTTCCAGATCCTCTGGAACAAGATCCGCAGCTGGCTGGTGAGCGGGGCACCCCTCTGGGGTTTGGGGATGATGGCTGGGGGAGAACCTGCCCTTCACCTCCTCGGCGGTGCCTTTTGCAGACCATCTTCCGCCAGCACGACCTGGATAAGTCGGGCACCATGAGCGCCTACGAGATGCGCATGGCCCTGGAGTCGGCGGGTAGGTTGTGGGGCAGAGAGGGAAGCTGCAGAAACCCTGTCCCTTCAAGTTTTTTGGGGGGCACGGCCCTCCCCAAGCCGCCCCCGGGGGTGCTGAGCGCTCTGCCTCGCAGGCTTCAAGCTGAACAACAAGCTGCACCAGGTGGTGGTGGCCCGCTACGCCGACGCCGAGATGGGGGTGGACTTCGACAACTTCGTCTGCTGCCTGGTCAAGCTGGAGGCCATGTTCAGTGAGTGCCGGCCCGGGGAGGGGACAGCAGGGACAAACAGACACGGGGACGGCTGGTCGGGACGAGGGGACGGGCCGCTCACCTTGCCCCTGTGCCCCTGTAGGGTTCTTCCGCGGCATGGACCCCGAGGGCACGGGCAGCGCCGTGATGAACTTCGCCGAGGTGAGAGGTTGAGGTGGCGGGGGGTGGAGAAAAAAGGGTGACCCCAAAGCGAAAGGGGCACCTGCGGGGCGTGGGGGAAGGCCTTTTGTCCACGGGGATAGGGGAAGGACCCTAAAAGAGCGAGGGCTGGGCCAGGGAGCTGCTGCAGGTGCCGTGCGGGGTGTCGGGGCGGTGCGTGCCGCCCTCTGCTCACCCCATTTCTCCTCCCCAGTGGCTGCTGCTGACGATGTGTGGCTAGGAGCCAGGGTGATGGCCGTGCCTAGGACAGCCCGGCGGGCCAGGCCCCCTCCACGTGCCTCCCTGGGGGTCCCTGCACGCAGGACCAGCTCCTTCCCCTCGCTCCATCCCACGCCGAGCCGCCCGCCCTCTCCCCTCCTCACCTCCCAGCCCAGAACAGGAGGAGGGCGAGCAGCAGGGGGGGGCTGGGGGTCACCGCAGCTGCTCGAGGGGGGGAGAAAGCTGGGGGCAGCTGCCCCCAAGGGAGAGGAGCTGTGGGGAGAGAGGGAGGGCTCGGATCGCCTGCTCTAGGGCATCAGCAGGTCCTGCCTTGCTCGGGCAGGGGCAGCTTGGTCCTGGGAAGCCAGGGCTGCCCTGCCGGGGAAGGCAGGCGGCGGGGAGGAGGAAGCTCTGCGCCCCCTAAAACCCTTCCCTCGCCCCAAAGAACGACCAAAGCGTGGAGCCCCGGCTGCTCAGCCTCCCCCAGCCCGGGCTCCTTTCTGCGTGGCCTTCCCCACCTCCCCCTCGCCCCCTTGCCCTTCGCCCCCCTCACGTAAGCACTGAACTGGGGGCTCCCCCTGCACTGTGGCACGGCACGGGGGGCTCCCCTCACCCCCCACCCCCCGTGGGCACCCTCCTTGCGCTTCTCCGTCCTCACCTTCTCCTCCGGGGAGGGGAAAGGGGGTGTCTCCAGCCTGGCGGTGGGCGAGGGCCCACGGGGGGCAGGCAGGCAGCCCCTCCCCAGCGCCTTGCAGCAATAACCACTGCTGCCCCCCCGGCAGCGCCGCTTCCTCGCCCCCCTAACCCTGCTCCGGGTAATAAAACGAGCTCTGTTGGACGGGCGGCTCGGCCTCCTCCTTGCAGGGTGGGGGCATTGGGGAGGCTGCTGGGGGGGGTTTTGGCGTCCTTCGGGGCCCTGGGGGGGCTCGGAGTGTGGGACATGGGTGTCCCCATCCCCGCGTCCCTCCTCTAGGCCCCCTGCTCCTCATCCTCGGTGGGGCGGGCCACGCACACTGGCCCCATTGTGGGGCTTTGGGGTGCCAGCTGTCCCCATCCGGCAGCCCTTCCCCTCCCTCCCTCCCCGCAGCCACCAGCTGGCAGCTCCTTTCCCTCCCCATTCCCAGCATTTGTGGGGAGGGGGCAGCAGGTGGGGGCCCAGCTGCCAATTAATCCCACAACGGGGCTCATCTCGCCCCCCCCTTGCAATGCAGCCCCTCCCGGGTGCTCGCCCACCCGGGGGTCCCCCTCCAGCTGCCCGTGGCCGTCCCCACCTGTCCCCAGCAGCTGCCCCAGGCTCTGGCACAAGGGCCCTTTGTGCCAGCGGGGGGCTGGAGGGGGGACAAAGCCCCACAAAGCCCCCTTCCCCTCCTCCTGCACCAACCCAGCTCCTTGGAGAGCCCGAGGGGCACCCCGGGGAGGGCTGGGGGGTCCCGGGGGCTGAATGCAGCCCGGCAGCTGCTGGGTTCGGCCTTTTTCAGCAGCTGCCGGCAGCACGGGGAATGCTTTTGGGGCCCGGGCACGGTGTGTTACACAAACTATTTATAGGGCCTGCCTCCCCCGGCGCCCAGCGCCTGCATTCCTCCCGCTCGCTGGTCACCCCTGCTGGCACAGCTGCCACCAAGAGAGGGATTTGATGAATTCCTGGGGCTCCGGGGCTGTCCCCGCAGCTGGCAGCAGGGGGAGGTGAGGAGGGGACGCAGCCATCCCCCCGCACCGTGGGCCACGGGATGGGGCCCTGCGTGTCCCCGCTGGTTACGTGGAGCACTGACGGGTGACAGCAGGGCTCTGCGTGTCCTCAGGGACCTGATCCAAGCCATAGGTGCCACCCTCCGTTCCAGAGGGGTTCTTCATTCCCCAACCTCCGTGCCACGTAATGTCCCCAGCGTCACCTCCGTGCCTGGTCGCTGCCTCCCTTTCTCCTGGGACTGAGCCCTGGGGATTGTCCCCGTGGGCACCGCTGATGGGAAGCTCCCCGTCCCCACCGGCTCCGTGTCCCGGGCTGATCCCAGCGATGGGCAAAGCTCCCCAGGGAGTGAGATCTCTGCTCTCTCCCCTCGCCACGTACCTGCTGGGGAAATCGGGGCACGGAGAGAGGAAGCAGCCCGGCTGGGGTCAGCCACGGAACAGCAGCCCCAGGAGCCTCACCACCAGGCCAGGCGCTGCACCCTCCGCTTCCCCGATAAAAATCGGGGCCGGGATCCCTCCCGAGGACACACAGACCCCATCGCAGCTGCAGTGAGGCTTCAGGTCCCGCGTCCTCCACCGGGGCTCCTCTTGCTGCTGGCGCAGGAGCCCTCAGGAGCGCAGCGGAGGCCGGTCCCGGGGGCTGACGTCAGCCCCGGTCCGTGCGGCTCCGGGACCCGGAGCTGCTTCTGATTCAGGCACGTGGCATCTCTGCGCTGAGGCACGGCCAGCCCTCCTCCCTCATCCGTCCCCGGCTCCCCAGGAGGAATCTGTGGGGCTGGGAAAGGTCACCCTGCCTGCGCCGCCCGCATGGGGCTCTCCGGGCACAGGCTGGGGCACGGGGACAGCGTTCAGGGCCTCGCGTCTCCCCCTTCTCCTAAATTCCGCTTGACCGGGAGCCAAGAGCAGGGGCTTGCGGGCTGGGCTCTTGCAGGGAACAACGAGGGGAGGAAACGAAGCCAGGCAGCCACCAGGAACAAGACACAGGCGGGAAGGGGAAGGGCACGGACTGCTTGGTGCTCGCTGCCTCGTGCCGCCCCCTGCCCCGGCACTCCTGTCCCTGTGGGGATGGCAGAGGCGTCTTTTGGGGCCGGCTGCCAGCTCGGGGGTGAAACAGGAGCCGGGAGCCTGCCCCGCAGCCCACGTCGCTGCGGTGGGCAGATGTTGTCCCACCCCACCACTGCCACCCCGACAGATGGGGTCGGCGGTGTGGCTTGCAGGGAGGAGGGGGCGTTTAAATGGGCGGCCGGCTGCGGGGATTTTTTGGGTGCTTTTTTTAATACCGTTGTTATCCCTCGAAGCAAAGGCATCCAAGCCACTCAGGCTGGCAGCAGGTCCGCGTGGGGGCTGCTGAGCGGCACGGGCTCCTCTGGGAAGCGAGGCAGAGCAGGGACACGAGGGGGGAAAGCTCCCCAGGACGCGGAGAGCCTCGGGGAGCCGGGGTGACCCCGCTCCGCGCTGCGCCCTGCTCCGAGCCGCCCCGGAGCGCAGCATCCCCGCCGGGCAGCGCTTCCCGGAGCCGCTCCCGGTGCCGCTCCCGGTGCCGGTGCCGGTGCCGAGGGCTCCCCGTGCCGCAGCCGGGGGGCAGCATGCCCGCCCCACCGCTCGCCGCCCCGCTGCTGCGCGCCCTGCTCGGCCGCCTGCTGCTGCTGGCCCGCAAGCGCCTCCTGCCGCCTCTCCGCCGCCTGGGCCGCCGGCTGCGCTCCGGGGAGAGCCGCCAGGCCCTGCTCACCTGCCTGCTCTGCATCCTCAACCTGCACAAGAAGGTGGACGGCTGAGCTCGGCACGGCCGAGGGGGGGCCGGGCGCGGAGCCGCCTCCCCTGCGCCGCCGCCGGAGGAGGGACCGGCACCGGCACCGGGGAGGGGAAGGGAAAGGAAGCGAAGGGACGCGCCCCGCCGGGGGCGGAGGGGCCGGAGAAGCCCTCCCGAGCCCCGGGCCATGGGAGCCGGGTCCCCGGAGCCCCCCCCGGCCGCCGCGGGGCCGCCCCGCTGAGCGCCCCCCCGGCGAGGGGCGGCCCCGGCACCGCCGCGCCCGCTCCGGGGCGGGCTCCGGCAGCGGGGGAGCAGCGGCGCCGCTTCGCCCCGAGCAGCCCGAGCAGGATCCCCGGGACCCCCCCGGTTCCCCCGGGCCTCCTCCCCGTGCCGGAGCCCCGGCCGGAGCGGGAGGATGTCGGGCAGCACGGCGAGGAAGGTGCAGCCCTTCACCATCAGCACCAAGCTGTCCCTGCCCAAGTGCGCCGCCGAGTTCGCAGCCGACGCCTGCCCCGGCATCGCCCTGGCCTCGGCGCTGGACAACCACCGGGGCCTCCGGAGAGACCTCAACCAGCGCATCTCCCTCTACCTGGCCCAGGCCAGGGGGTCGTCCTCGGGGCCCCCCGGCCAGCCCCGCCGCGGGGAGGAAGGCGGCGAGGAGGAGAGGCTGAGCCGGGGCTCCCTGGCGCGCTCCATCAAGAAGATCACGCTCTCCAACTGGCACGGGGAGGCTGGCTCCGGGGATGCAGGGGGGTCCGGGGAGCCCGGGGGGGCCGGAGGGGAGAGGAACCACAACAACAACAACAGCAGGACCGGGAAGGCTCAGTTCAAGGTAAGCGCTCCCCTCAAACCCTGCTCCCCGTCCCGCTTTGGGGCCGGATCCCGGTTCAGCTCCCGCAGCGGGAGGGCTGCGGGGTGCTCGAGGGGATGGGTGAGCCCAGGGTGAGCGTGGGTGGGAAAGCTCGGCCCCACAGATTGAGTCCTGGGGGGCTCAGCCCTTTGGATGCTCGCGGCCGTGTGTGGGGAGCTGGGAACTCGCCCCCCGCTCCTTTACCAGAGGGGAAACCGAGGCTGGGAGAAGGGAAGTGACTCACGAGGGGCCGTGCGGTGAGGCAGAGCCAGGACAAGGCTGCTGCCCGCCCGGCCCCCGCCGCGGGACCCGGGAGCCCTGGCAGCCTGCCCTCTGCGTTTCGGCCCCGGCGGATGCGGGTGTCCCCAGAGACCCCCCTGTGGGGTCGGGCTGGGGAGCGGGGCGGCTGGGAGACCTCGCCAGCAGCTCCTTGTGCTTTAACCCCGAGCCGCAGCGGCTGCTTTCGCAGCGGGGTAGCGCCGGGGAGAGCCGCGCAGCCGGCTGCCAAAACCCTCTCCTTCATTGCCAATAAAGGCCAGGCGCAGCCTCGCAAGAGCTGCCGGGCCCTCGGGCACGCAGGCAGCTCCTCTCCTCGTGGCACGAGCAGCCTGCGCAGCCCGAGGGGCATCAGCCTGGGGGCTCCCCTCGGTCCTACAAGGAGCGCTGGAGGTGCTGCTCGGCCAGGAGCCTTTGCACCTCTGCTTCGCGTGGGAGGCGCCTTCAGCCTGCAGGGCAGCGAGAGGAAGGGTTTGTTCCTCCCGAGTGAGGACCCAGCTCCGGCCAGAGGGACCGGCCCCGTGCGGGAAGGATGAAGTCATCCCTGTGCCGCCGGCCCTATTTGCCTGCCGCCGGCGGGGCGCAGGACAGGGGCCCTAAATACAGCTCCCCTGCCACCCGCGGGCTCGGCGAGGGGCTCACGGGGTCCCAAAATGCATCCGATGGGCGTAGAGGGTCAGAGGGATTGCCCTTGGGCACGGCCCGAGCGATCCCGCGTGCTTCTTGCCCTGGGTTTGGGCCACGGGGAGGCTAAGGGAACGCGGAGTTCATCCCAGGCCTCCTCGCCGTGCCTCTCCTGCTCACACCCCGGCCCCTCCATCCTGCGGGAGCCCTTCCCGGTGACTCAGCCGCCCTCTTAACTCTCGCCTCCCGGCCCCGGGTGCTTTCAGGTGCCGGCAGCCCACGGGGCTCACGTTTTCCTCTACCCTGCTGTGGCTGCTGCAGGGGGGGGTGCAGGAGCGCTGCCAGGCTCCCCGCCTGCTGGCACCCAGCTCGCTGCCAGGCTGACGGGGCTGCGCCTTCCCCGCCTCCAGGTCTATCTCAGGAAGGATGTGGACGGGGAGGACGACAAGCAGGAGGCTGCGAGCCCCCACTCCAGGCGGGTTCTGCTCCCCGCTGGACAGAGGGTCCCCCTTGGAGGCGGTACGTCCCCGCGCACGCTGCCGGGAAGGGGTGGCCGAGGGCTTGAGGCTGAGCAAACGGGGCTGGAGGGGTTTGCGCAGAGCCCGGGGGTGCACGAGGGCGTCTGCCCCAAAAAAACGGGGTGCAGCTATCGCCAGGGGGCACAGGGGCTGGGGTTTAGGGTTCGCAGGGGGCTGGGCACTTCCAGCGCTTGGCTGTGTCAAGAGGCTGGGGATGACGGAGTCGCGGGAGGGCCTGAGAATCTGTGTTGCTATTTAAAAAAAAAAAAAAGCAGGAAAAAAAAGAAAAAAAAAAAAGATTTCTCTAGTTCTTGTGGTTAGGCAGAGAGAGACTCTCATGTCATCAGCGGGGCAGCGCATGCCAGAGTGCTTAGAGAGCCTGACGCTCGCCCCAGCCCTGCAGCTCGGCACCCAGGAGGTGGCACCCTGCGGGTATGGGTGCGCCGAGCCCCCCTCGGGACCCCTGCCCCCTGCCAGCCTCAGGGAGGGCAGGGGGGGGCATTTCGGGGCCCCGTGCTGGGAAGCAGCGCCTGGGAGAGGCCGCGCTCCCCCCGGGCTCCGTGCAGCTGGGCCCAGGGCTGCGTTTGGAGGGGGGCCAGCTCCTTGTGCTGGCTGACCTTCGCCGTGGCCCCCGGCGGAGCTGGAGCCCTGACAGAGCATTTCGTCAGCCCGGGGGCCATGCTGTGTTTCTCCCCCCCCCCCTCTGCCACCCCTTTTGCTTGGGCTGGGGGTCTCCCTGGCTCGCTCTGCGCCCTTCTGTCCCCCACGGGGTGACCCAGGGTGGCGAACACCGTGGGCACGTCCCCTCCTTGAAGCCCCCAGGCAGCAGGGGGGGTGACACGCTGCCCCCCTGGCTCTGCCCCCCCAGCTGGCACCCCATAAAGACAGCCCCGGGAGCAAGGAGCCGGCGGCCCCCAGGAGCGTGGGGCGAAGCGTGCCGGGGGCACCCACCCTCCCGGACCCCAGCCCCCTGCTCGCCCAGTTCAACCGGGAGATGCTGCAGGTGAGCCCACCCGGGGGGAATAGGGCCGGGATGGGGGCCGGGAGCGGGAGCGGGACCCAGGCTGCCTTCCTTTGGGGCTGCGGGTGGGGTGCGCCGCGGGGAGGGCTGCGCGGCCGGCCTCGAGCCGAGCCATTGTTGCGGCGTGAGATCATCTTTGGCCGCCTCCGCCTGGCTGTCAGCCCCGGGGAGAGGGGGTCAGCCCGCACCGGGGCCCTGCTTCCTCCTCCTCCTCTTCCTCCTCCTCCTCCCGAGGGGGACGGCGACGGGAGAAGGGAGGAGATGGGGGCCGTCGGGGACGGACGCGGCTCCTGCCACCCCGCAGGCGGAGGGCTGGGTGCGAGGCAAGCTGCGGGACCTGAAGGACGGCTGCGAGCTGCAGGGCTGGGAGCAGGTGGCGCAGGCCCTGCAGAGGGAGATGAAGGACTTCGACAACACCCTCATCAAGCTCAGCCAGGTGAGGCTCGGGATAACCCGCGGACCCCCTCGCCGGGCGATCCGTGAGCCCCCCAGTGACCCGTTTCGGGGTCCCCGTCCCCGCAGATGGGCGAGCAGCTGGCGGGCAGGCCCAGCCCCGGCGGCGAGGCTGGTGCGGAGGCAGCTGCAGGCGCTGCGGGAGCAGTGGCAGCTCCTGAAGCAGACGGCCGCCAGCCAGAGCAGGGCCCTGGGGGGGCTGCGCAGCCTGCAGGACTTCAGCAGGAAGGCGGAGAGCCTGGAGGCGTGGATCCGCAGCAAGGTGAGGTGCAGGTGGGCGCAGTGCCCTAGGGACGGGCTGCCACGTCCCCACCTCGCTCACAGCATCCCGTTTTCCAGGAGGAGAAGCCCTGCCTGGCGGCACTCCTGCAGGAAAGCCCGGAGAAGATCCAGCTCACCCGCCGCATCCTCGACTTGAAGCAGGTGGGCACAGCTCGGCTCCATCTCGCAGCCCGTGCCCACCCCAGCTGCTCCCCGAAACCCAGCCGGAGCCCCCGGGGGTTTGGGGGTGCTGATTTCCTGCCTCTGCCCGCCCCAGGAGGAGCAGCACTTCCAGAGCCTGCACGAGGAGCTCAACAGCCTGGCCCAGAAGCTGGAGAAGCAAGGCAAAAGCGAGAGCCGGAGCGTGTCCGCCCGGCGCAAGCACCTCAACAAAATGTGAGCGGGGTGGCGGGGCGATGGAGCAGGGGGGGCTGTGGTGGGCACGAGCCGCCCCTCACCTGCCGCGATTCCTCCCTCGGGCAGGTGGCTGCGGCTGCAGGGCACCCTGAAGGAGCACCACGAGGCCCTGCAGCTGGCCCTGGAGGTCGCCGCCTTCCTGCAGCAGGCCGAGGCCCTGCTGGGCGCCATCCACGCCAAGGTAGCGGCCCCGGGCAGGGTGGCACGGCGGGGGGAGGGTCCTCGGGGTGCGAGAGCTGGGGGGCAGAGCCAGGGCAGCAAACGGGGCTGGGCTGGGGGGATTTGAGCATGGCAGAGCTGAGGGCAGGGCCCTGTCCCCCTCCCCTGCGCTGAGCGCGGCCTCTTCTCGCAGTGGAGGAGCGTCTGCGGCGTGGGGAAGCACGGGGAGGCCGAGGCCAGCCGGGATCGGGATGTCAGGGACATAGCCAGCCAGGTGATGGTAAGTGATGGTGCCACCCTCATCCTCTGAGCCCTGGGGGCACCCTGGGGATGGGGGCTCAGCGTGCACCCCAAACCCACATGGGGCAGCCGGGGTTGAGGGTGGGGGCAGGCAGCCACCGTGTGTGGCTCATCCCGGCCCTGCCACCGCTCCCCTGTCCCGCAGATGCTGGACGTGACCGTGTCGCAGCTCCTCAGCCTGCAGCCCAGCCTGGCGGCCCGAGTCACCCCCAAGCACCGGGACGTGAAGGAGAGCTGGGCCCGGCTCCAGCAGGCGCTGAGGTGGGGCAGCCCCCGGCCAGGCTGTGGGGAGAAGGGGTTTGGGGTTGCAGCTTGGGTCTAGGCTCCTTGGTCAGGCTCACAGTGCCGTGACCTCAGAGGGTTCCCTCCTTTCTCCATTTCCTCGGTGGAAAATGGGGCGATCAGGACCACAAAAAGTGAGCTTTAGGGGCTCTCTTTTCTCCATCCTCTGCCCCCCCCGAGCCTCCCTTCACTCCCTGCCCCTTCCCAGGACCGAGAAGGCTCCGGCAGTGGCTGTGGGAAGCGGTTTCCCAGGGGGAGAAGCCTCGGCTGCGAGCACTGAGCCCCGCGGAGACGGCAGCAGCCAGGAGCTGGTGGGAAAGGAGGCAGGAGACAAGCAGAAGAGAGATCCCGGCGGCAGCACGGTGAGCACGGCTCAGCCCTGCCTCCCCCCGGCCTCTCCAGGGCCTCCGTGGTAGGAAGGCGGCCGAGCTTGTGGGAATTTGGCCGCTGGCCCAAGCCCAAGCCCGGCACCGTGCCGTGGCTGGGATGCAGCAAGGAGCCCTGCACCTGGCCCGCGGCGAGGCGAAGCCCTTTTGGGGCCGGGCGGAGGAGGCATGGGAGCCTTGGTGCCACAGGTGCCGAGGGACGTGTCGAGGAGGCTGGTGGAGCACGTGAGAGGCGAGGAGAGCGGCCCTGGCTGTCCAGCAGCGGGAGGGGACAGCAGGAGGTACGGGCTCGTGGAGGAGGCTGCGGGGAGTGGGGCGGAGCGGGGGTCCCCGTGGCTGACCGCCCCCCTCTCCGCAGGAGGAGACGGGGTCCTGGAGAGGTGGAGGCTGAGAGGGGCACGCGGCCCCCCGAGGCCCTGGCGCAGGATGTCGGCCGGGTGCCAAGCACGGTAACGCCTCCCCGAGAGCCCAGCCGCGTCCCCCCTGCCCCTCTATTCCCAGTCCATTCATTTTTGGGGTCCCTTTTCCCACCCCCTGCGAATTTTGGGGGCGCACGTCCCCATGCTCCTCAGCAGGCTGCAGCCCCGCTCGAGGAGAGCCCCCCCAGCTCCCGGGGGGGATGCAGAGAGCTGGGAAGGGCGGGCTCCAGCATGGCTGTGCCCCCGCTGAGCCCCCTCCAGCCTGGGGACACGGGGTGGGAGCCACCCTGAGCGCTGCCCCTGCCTCCAGGAGGGCGCGGGGAGCCCCCAGGTGGAGGCCATGCTGCGGGAGCTGGGCGAGCTGTGGGAGGACCTGCAGAGGAAGCACCAGGAGAACGGCGCCGTGCTGAGGGAAATCGATAAGGTGAGTGGCTGGCGTCACCCTCACGCTGCTCCTGCACCCCTTGAGGGGCCGATGCGGTCGGTCCCACCTCCCTGCTGTCCCCGCAGGCGCTGAGGCTGGTGGGGGAGCTGGACCGCGCCGAGCGGTGGCTGCAAGCCGTGGCGGGGTCGCTCTCGGAGCCAGCTGCCATGAGGAGCCCCGCGGAGCTGCGCAGGGACCTGGAGGGGACGGGCCAGCTGGAGAGGCAGCTCCTGCTGTGCGGCAGCAAGCTCCAGGCGCTGCGGGAGGAGGCGGCGGGCGGGATGCCCGCGGAGCGCGAGGGAGCGAGGAAGATGCAGAGGAAGGTGGAGATGGTGGAGGAGAAGTGAGTAGCAGGGGAGGCCGCCTCCTCTCCGGCCCCAGGGCGCGTGGGGAGGAGGATGTTTCACCCAGGGAGGTGCCGGTGTCCACGAGGGCCGCCTGTCCCCGTAGGTTGGCACAGGTGCAGGCAGCCCTGCGGCGCCGAGCCGCCGACCTGCGCGACTCCCTGGTGCTGTCCGAGTTCCTGCAGAACCTGCAGGAGGAGGAGGAGCGGAGCCGGCAGGGAGCCAGGGAGGTGAGCAGCGGGGATGGCAGCCTTTTGGGATCGCCCAGCGGCTGGGCACAACCCGAGGGTTGGTCTGAGGCTGGCAGGGGGGCTGCCCCTCTCCAGCCTGGACGCTTTGGGGGTTGCTCCACACCTCCCTCACGCCCAGCGGCTCTGTTGGTTTCAGCCAGGGAGCGGGCACCGTGGCTCGCAGGGGGCTTTTCCCCTGTTCTCGGCCCGGGCTGAGGATGGCGAGGAGGCGAGCAGCCCCTTGGGAGAGCTGCAGGAGGCCGTGGAGATGCTGAACGACGCGGCCAAGGAGCGGGAGCGAGTGATGGAGGTGGCGGCGGAGACGGAGAGCCTGGAGCGCCTGGTAGGGGGGACTTCGGGGACACGACCCGGGTGGCCCACCCACAGCCGTGAGGGGTCCCGTGGTGGGACTCACCTCTGCCCTCCCTCCCTCCTGCCCAGGTGGCAGCGGTGTCCCCGCGCCTGGAGGCCCTGCGGCGCAGCGCCGAGGCCCTGGCTCGCGACACGGCGCAGGCGGAGAGCGGCTTCACCACGGTGAAGAGCGAGAAGGACCTGCCGGGGCTGCAGGGCTTGCAGAGCCGCCAGCAGGAGATGGAGGTGAGCTCCGGGAGCCCCGCAGCCGGCCGGGCACGTGGCGGGGAGGTGCCCGGGCAGGATGGGGCCATCCCGGGGAGGTGCTGGCCCCCGGGGGCCCAGGTGTCGTCAGCCTTGGCACGCGGCGGTGTCTGGGCTGGAATTTTCCAGCCCGAGCCAGGGAAGGGGAGAGAGCTCGCCTCAGCCCCCCCGTGCCAGCGCCCGGCTGCCAGCACCTCGCTCATCTTTCCGCCGGCAGGGTGGTGACTCAGGCGGGCAGGCAGGGAAACCACGCGGGGAAAACTGCCCGGCCATGGCACCCGTGGCATCCTGAGGCTTTTTTTTTTTTCCCCCTCCCCTTTTGGTCTTCAGCGCGAGGTGTCGGAGAGCCTGCAGGGGCAGCTGGAGGAGCTGGAGCGGGGAGCTGCCCGCTTGCAGGAGCTCTGCCCTGCTCGCCTGTGCCCCATCAGCCGGGAGGTGCAGGACACGCTGCGGGCGTGGGCAGGGCTGCGGGAGCTGCTGCGGGAGACCCGTGGGCACGTGCAGCAGGCCGGCCGGCTGCGGCACTTCTTCAGGGATTACTTGGCCATGATGTAAGTGAGGAGCCGGCGGGGTTGTCTGGGGAAAGGATGTCGGGGAGACCTCAGGCCCTGCACAGCCATCAGGGACAAAGGGCATCTTGGGGTCCCCGAGGTGCCACATCGCGTGGGAGACGAGGGCAGGTTGGGAACAGCTTCCCTGGGCTGTCCCTGAGCCCGTCCTTCATGCGCCCTCAGCTCCTGGACGGAAGACACGCGGGCTCAGATCTTCTCCGAGAGCCCGAGCGGCCCCGGCTTCCTGGAGACTCAGTGTGAGGAGCTGGAAAAGAAGATCGAGGGCAAGCTGCAGGAGTTCGAGGAGCTGGCGGCGGCGGGGCAGCAGCTGGTGGCGGAGGAGCACTACCTGAGCGCCACGGTAAGCGGCGGAGAGCCGGGACGAGCGGCACGGGGCCCTGGAGCCGCTGGGGTCCTGGCGGGGGCCACCCAGCATCTCCGTCCCCATAGATCCAGGAGCGCCTGGAGGAGCTGCAGAGCATGCTGGGCTGGGTGCTGGTGCGCTGGCGAGCGCAGAGGCACCAGCGGGATGAGAGGAGGGACCCCGAGAGCCCGCGGAGAGCATCCCCTGCCGGCCAGGTGAGCACCCAGCTGGGCTGAGAGCCCCGATGGAGCAGGGGGCGCACACAGTGGGGGACGTGTCTCGTCCTGGCAAAGTGCAGCCCGTCCTCCAGCTCCCCTCCTGCCTCATTCCCCAGGAGCAGCGTGCCCCGTGCGCTCAGGAGAGCATCCTCAGCCCGGCGAGGCTCCCTCCCTGCTCCTTCCCCATGCGCACACAAGGACCGGAGCCGCAGGTGCCGGCAGGGGCAGCGCTCTCCCCTCCAGCATCACCTCCCTGCAGCCCAGGAAGCCCCGAGCAGGCTCTGGCCTGGGATCCCTCCGAGACCTCCACGCTGCTGCTGCCACCGCGGGGCCCCGGCGGGCTGGGGGGCACGGTCAACCTCATCCTGAGCATCGGCAAGAAGGGCGAGAAGAAGAAGGTGCAGATCGAGGAGACACCACGGACGGTACGTGGGGCTGGGCGGGGGGTTTGGAGGGCTCTTGGGTGTCCCCCGTGGTGGCACCCGGCCGGGCTGTCCCCAGGAGAGCTGCCCGGCCTGCGTAAAGCTCTGCTGGATGTCGAGCGCCTCCCGAGGGCTAAGGACCAGCTTGTGCCACCCTTTTCCTGCACTTCCCTGGCTGCAGCTCCTCACCCCCGCGCATCCAACCCGCCCCCCATCTCTCTCTGTCTCTCTCTCCCCCTGCTCAGCTCCCTGCCACTAAACCCTCGGGCTGTAAAACCTTTTGGAAGCGTTGCCAGGGGCTTGTAGGAAACACTTGGGGTAGTTTAAGGCGCAAGAGAAAGCCGCCTCGCCAGCCAGCGGCGGAAGAGGTAACGGCCCCGGGGGAGGCCGCATGCGGGGCGGAGCGGCTGCATGGTGTGAACCCGCCTGCTGCATCCAGACCTGGGCTGCCACAGCCTCGCAGGGACACGGGAGGGCTGTGTGTGGGGCAGCCCTGAGGGCCAGGGAGGTGCTCTTCCAGCTCGAGGGCTGGGGATGCCGGGCGAGGCGTTTCCAGGAGCCGGGGGTCATCGCTCTCTCCGTGCCCGCAGGTGCTGCTGGAGGAGAAGCTACGGGGAAGGGGCCGGGAGCAGCTCCGGCACGCCGCAGCCAGCGAAGAGGCCGCCTGCCGCGTCCTGCCGCCCTCCGGCACCCGGCTCCGGCACGCCGCCAGGCCTCCCACACCCTGCCCAAGGCCAGCACGGGCTCCCTCTTCAACAGCCTGCAGAGGAGGGAGCGGGCCCGGGCCGAGCAGGCACGGCTGCTGACGCTTCAGGGGATCATGGGCGCCAGCTCGCTGCAGCCCCTGCCCGAGGAGCGGCACGGCCCCAGCAACACCTGGCCCCTCAAATGCAGCTGGAGGAAGGCGGGGGGGCCCCCCGGCCCCCAGCTCGGGGAGCTGCTGCTCTACGTGAAGAACCCCCTGGTGCGGGACATCGACGCCGAGTGCGGGGCGGCCCCCCGGCACCCCAAACCTCGCCTGGCTCCCCCCGGCGCCGCGCGGCGCCCGGGGCCCAAAGCCACGTGCCCTCACCTTGCCCTGGGCTCCGTGCTCAGCCTGGAGCTGCCCAAGGATGTGGCCGTGCTGGGGCGCCTCCGAGACGCCGCGCCGCCAGAAGAGGAGGAGGAGGAGGAGAGGAAGGGCAGGGGGGTGAGGTGGTGGGAGCCCCCTGGAGAGGACACGGGCGGGCACGGTCCCCGGCAGCCCGGCGATGTCCTGGGGGCGTCCCCTAAAGCCGAGCGAGGAACGTGGCTCGAGGAGGTGAGCTTCAACCCCAGCTCCGGCCGGCACAAGGCGCGGGGCCCGCGGGCTGCCCACGGCACCGGGGAGGAGCGCAGGAGCCCGCGGCACCCCGGCAGCACCAGGCAGCACCTCCCGGACTCAAGGCCGGGCTGGCAGCCCCACGAGCAGGACCTGCTGCCCACCCGCCTGCAGCAGGGACGGCAGCCCCAGAGCCAGCTGCAGGGTCCGGCACCGTGAAGCCACTCACCTGGAAATGGGGACGTCCCCCACCAGCACCCCGCACAGGGCAGGAGCCATCCCAACTGCTCAGCACCCCCCCAGCAGGCACCCAGCCTGTGGGGTCCCCGGCTTCCCCCGCCGCTCCCACCCAGCTCTCCGTCTTCGAGTGGGCGCTGGGGTCCCCGCAGCCCCCCAGCCCTGTGCGGGGTGCCCAGGAGGTTTGCCACCCTGCCCACGGGCAGTTCGAGGAGGAGGAGGAGGAGCTGCAGGCCATTTGGGATGGGGCGGGCGAGCGGCGTGCGCCCGGCCACCCACCGGGGAGCCCCCCCAGCTCCGACACCGCCAGCGGGCCCCTCATCCTCTCCTCGGCCAACAATGTGCTGGTGGCCAAATTCACCCTCCCCAGCGCTGCCCGGATCCTGCAGAGCCCGGCTGGAGGGAAGGGGCACGCGGGCAGCCCCCAGGGGCACGGGGCAGCCCCCTGCCTGGAGGGGACGGTGGCCGTGCCCCCCTCGGACAGCCCCGCTGCGTGGGATCGGCAGAGGCAGCGGGACGAGGAGAGAGAGGGCGGCCAGGTCAGTGTGGGGAGGAGCAGGGGGGAGGAATTTGGGTGTGCCAGCTGCACTGGGGCTCCCCAAACTGCTCAGCCTTAGCAGGCAGAGCTTGACCCTAAAAAAAAAAGGGTGCCCTGATGTAGCCGCATTTGGTGCTGCCTCCTCGGGCAAACCTGCATGTCCTGGGGCTGATCCGGGGCTCCCTCCCTCACCTGCTGTCTGCTTGCAGGCTCCTGCTGGTAAAACGGAGTTCCAGATGATGGAGGGGACGCTGGAAAGGAAGCACGTGCTGCAGGCAGGAGGGAGGAAGGTACAGTCTGTGGGATCAGGGTGCTGGGCATGGGGCCGTGGGGGCTGCTGGAGCAGGGGCGCAGCAAGGGGACACCTCCGTGCACCTGTGGGATCCTAATGGGGGCACCCCACAGCGTCTGACGGATGCTGACCCGCCATCCCCATGTCCCCTCTGTCCCCTGCTCGTGTCCTGCAGGCCAGCTGCCGTGCCTGGGGCCTCTTCCACGCCGTGCTGATGCGGCAGACGCTGTGCTTCTACCAGGACCGGAGGGACAGCCTCAAGGTACGGCGCCCTGAGGGGGGCTGTGTGTGACGGGGGGGGGTCCTCGTGGCCGGCTGGGGAAGGGGAAGCTGCAAACCCCGCCGTGCTTTTTGCTTTTTGCTCTTCCCCGTGCTGCAGAGCTCCGTGGTGGCCCTGCCCCTCAACCTCGCCGGGGCCGTGTGCGCTCCGGACAGCGAGTACACCAAGAAGACCAACTGCTTCAGGCTGCAGTGAGTTCTCCCGGGAGATGGGGAGTCACCCACAAGCCACGCTTTTCCTGCTGCTTCACCTCTTCTTCTTCCCCCGGCAGGCTGCGGGACGGCTCCGAGTACCTCCTGCGGGCCCCATCGCAGCCCCTGATGAACGAGTGGGTCTCCAAGCTGCAGCAAAACTCAGGTGAGCGGCCCTTGGAGCAGGCACCTCGGTGCCGCAGCCCCTTCGGAGCTGGGTATGGGATGGATGAGCCGAAAACACGGCTGCCTCCGGGGTATGCAGGCTCCTGCCCTGCCTCGGGAGCTGCGTGTCCCCGCCAGCAGGATTTGGAGGCTTGGTTTTCGCACCGCGCACACACAGTTGGGAATCAGGAATAACAGGGCTGACGTCAGCCGAGGCTCAGCAGCAAAAAAAAAACAGCCTCAGGAAGATTATAAATGGGCTCTGGGCTTCCCAGTGCCCTTCATCTGCCATTCCTGTGGGGCTGGGAGCCCCTTCCTGGCGAGGGGATGTGCCAGAGCGGCGTCTCCCCGCTGCCACAGCCGTTCCCTGGGGGGCTGATTTGCAGGAGCCAGCCCATCTCCTGCAGACCATGGTTATGGGTGGTCACCCCACGGGCTCTTTGGGGTGTCCCATGTGCCCCCCCGTGCCACAGCGTGCCCCTCTGCCCCTCTGCCCAGGTTTCCCCGAAGTGGATTACTTCCAGGCGGCCGCGCAGTGCGTCGAGGGTGCCAGCTTCAGCCCCCTGCAGGGTCCCCACCAGGCTGTGACCGCCAAGAGCCCGGAGATCGTGGTGCTGCCCCGCTCCAACGCCCGCCTGCAGCTGCCCCAGGACGCGCAGGACGGCCCCACCGATGGCACATCGGCAGCAGGTGACTTCTTCCTCGCCCCTGTGTCTCCGAGCCCTGTGGGGTTTCCCCTACTTGCTGCCCAAACGCAGCCCCAGCGGTGGCCATGGTGGTGTCTGTAGGACATCCTGACCCGGGGGCAAGGCAAGGCGCTGGTGGAGAGCCTTTCCACCTGGCCGTGTGTCCCTGTAACGCCTCCTTCTCCTTCAGAGGATGTCTGCGGGGCCGCCAGCCCCACAGCCGGGCGCAGGGAGCAGCAGCGGTCCCCCCGGACGTCCCCCGGGCTGTGGGACAACGGCTGCCCAGACGAGGACGACTGCGGGCTGGTGGCCAATAAGCGGCGCTCCTACTCCTTCACCTCAGGTACGGTGGGGTCGGGGCACACCTGTATGGGGCAGGAGGTGCTTCACCCACCGCTCTTTGTCCCGGTGGTGTGGTGGTGGCCGTGGGATAGGTCCCAAGCCCCCCCAGGAGGCATCTCCCACCCCTTGTGCCATCCCTCCCCAAGCGCCCCGCGGGGTGGCCGTGCTCAGCACCCCGTGCCCGGCTCGGGGGGGGCTCTGGGGGTGCCTGCAGCCTCTCCGTGCTCCCTCCCGCAGCCACCTACCAGAAGATCACCCCGCTGGCCGTGCCCCAGGAGCCGCGGGAGGCGGGGGGCAGCTACTCGGTGACGCTCTACATCGGGGAGCAAGCGGCGGCCGTGCCCAGGGCGCGCTGCCGCTCCTTCGTGGCCCGGCCGGGGAGCCCCCGGGACGCGCTGGGGGAGAAGCCCCCCGGCGCCCCCCGCCCCAAGAACAAGTCCGTCTTCAAGAAATTCTTCGGCAAGAAGGAGTGAGCCCCGGCCGAGGGCGAGGAGAGCCCCTCGCCTGCCCGTTTGCCTGCCCTCCTGGCACCGGCTGCTGCCCCCAGCACCCGCTCACCGCTCGCCGCCTGCCCGGGGGGCGCTGCACCGCACCCTGCCTCCCCCCTGCCCCCCCCGGGCCTCCCCCCACACGCAGCACAGGCAGGGCCGGGGGTGTTTTTATTAAAAAACAGATCGACACGCCTGGCTGGGAGCTCCTTCCTCCAGCCCCGAGGTGGGTGGGGGGCTCCTGCTCAGGGACATGCTGCCTGCTGTGGGGGTCGGGGAGCGTGGCCGGCCCCTGGGGTGCTTCCCCATGTCCCCAAAATTTTGCGATAACTTCGCCAGGTTCCAGTCTGTGCCGGGAAGGGGAGGGAGCGCAAACCCTGGGCAAACAGGGCAGGGCTGTGAGGACGCTCCCGGCAGGCTCCAAGGCTCAGCCTCTCCTCCGCAGGCGCAGGATGGGGCTTAAAATAGCCGGGCTGGCGGCCGCCCAGATCCGCAGCGAGGGCTGGCAGCGCGCACAAACGCGAGCAGCGGGCACGGGGCTGCTCCCACCCCCCCCCCCGTGTCCTGCCGCAACCCCCAGCTGGGGACGGGGACGTCGGTGTCACCCGGCGAGGGGCTTCGTGCTCCCGGAGGGGACCTGGGGGGGATTTGGGGCCGCAGATTTCTCTCGGCTCAGTGCCTTGGCTCAGGCACCTGTTTTCCTCCAGCACCCGTGGAGGAAATTCCTTAATGGGAAGAGAGGAGCGGGGCGGCTCTCCCGGGGCTGGGGGGGATGCCCTGGGAGGGGGCCAGCTCTGGTTGTGCCGTGGGGAGGCACTTTTAGCCCCAGCAGCCGCTGTGTCCGGAGCCGCCAGCTCATTCCCGAGCTGCTCGGGGGCCCACGGAGGGGCGGAGGGGCTGGGGCTGCACTGCTTGGGGTGCGGGACACGTGGAGCCACCGACCTGCCCAAAGTGTCCCACGCTGGCCCAAATCCAGCACAGCAGCGTGGGACGGGACGTGTAAAAGGCAGAGGGGCTGGGGGCACCTGGTGACCCCAGGCAGAGCCCCCGGCACGCTCCCCGTGCCGCGGGGTGCCGCGGGAGGGCTCCTTCCCCTCAGCCTCTCCCCCTCCTCGCCCTGGCAGCAGGGCCCGCTGGCGGTCTGGGTGGCAGGCGCCGCTTCCCCCCGCTAATCCCCGCATGCACGCAGCCTCCACCTGCTGAGCCAGCGGGAGCCAGCACCCGCTGAGGAGCTCGTGGTGTGGTGAGGGCTCCGCAGCCCCCATCCTCCCGCTCTTGGAGGATCCCCGGCACCAGGCACGGCGGCAGGCGGGGAGCTGAGCCCCGGAGGTAACGAGCAGGGTGGCGAGAGGGAAAGGAGCCGGGCTGGGGGCTGGGGAGGGGACGTGGCTCTGAGACCCGTGTACAAGGTCACCCCGCAGCCAGGGGGGCTGCCACCCAGCGCCCCGTCCCTCTGCCCCCGGGGCTGAGCGGGGAGCTGGGGACAAGGACGATCCGGCTCCCGGCCACGCTGCGGGTGGCAGGGAAAGGGCTGGGGGGAGCGGGCTCTGCAGGGCCATGCCTATAGGGCAGGGCCCCCCGCTTCACAAGGCCTTTGTCCCCAGGAGGGCATCCCCGGGCGGGGGCCGAGGGCTGTCCTGCGGCCGGGTGTCCTTGGTGCGGCCGGCAGAGCGCTAGGACCTGCGGAGAGGCAGGCAGGCAGCGCTGGCAGCTCTCCCCCCGAGCAGCGCAGGATCCGGAGCCGGCAGCCAGCAGCAGCACGGGGAGAAAAAAAAAAAAATAACAAAACAACAAAAAAAAATAAGCCAACAACATGTAAGCGTGCGTGGCCGTGCCCCGGGCTGGCACCGTGCGCCACGGACAGCCACCGAAACGAGGGCACGGGGCTGAGCGGCGGTGCCGGGGACAGCAGGTCAGAGCTGGGGCACGGGGACACCGGTGGCGGTGGCTTTGCTCTGCCTGCTGGCCCACAACGGGGCAGGGGTTGGGGTGCTGAGGGGGGGAAGGTGGTCCCATGGGGTTTTTTTGGCCCCAGGGTGCTCGTCCCCGCGCTCCTGGCCATACTGGGGTGGTGCCTGGTGCTTCTGTAGGGTCCTTGGGGTGCCTGCAGCGCAGGGGACGCAGCGGGGAGCCCTCGCTCGGTGCCTCCCCGTTGGGGTTTCTTCCCCAGCGCTGCCCAAACCTCGCCAGCCCTTTGTCCCCATAACCAGACTCTCCCCCGTGACCCTTCCAAGCTGTGGGCTGACCGCTGGGCGACCGCCCTCGGCCCTCGCTCCGCTCCCTCCCCAGCTCCTTCCTCCCCAGGCGCTGTCCCCGTGCTGCCCTCGGCCTGATTCGGCCGGGACGGGGTGGCCCCAGGTGCCCCTTGGCTTGTTTGCAGGGTCCTGACCCCACGCACGGGGCGCGGGGGCCGGGGCAGGGTCCGCAGCTTGGCCCTTGCCCCCAGGCTGCCTCTCGGCCTGGCTGCCCCGGCCAAAACCCCACAAAACGGGGACGCGGGGCGGGGTGGGCAGCCCTGGCTGCAGCCCCCGAGCTGCTCCGGGGGGCTCCTCGGGGAGCTCCTCCTGTTTTTTTGGGGCTCCCATCACCTCCACAACCCCATCCGTGACGCACCCATCCCGGCTGGGAGTAGCACCCCAAAATCTCGAGGGGAGGGCGCAGATTTGGGTTCTCGCCAACCCCCCAAAAAGCTGTTGCTTTGCTCCCCAAAACGCACAGCCCCGAGGCGCTGGGGACGGGCGCGCCGCCGGCTGCGGCCAGCAGAGGGGAGCACCGCGCTGCGCTCCCCGTGCCATGAGTTTGTCGGGGCTTGGGCACGGCCCCACGATCAGCACCGCTCGCCCCAACCCACCCCAAACCCAGGGAGAAGCAGGCGGTGCCCCTGAGACAGCCCCCTCTCCACGTCTGCGCCCCAAAGCCCGGTGGCACCCCAAATTTTTTCCTTTGCCCTGTTTTTTTAGCAGCACCCCCTGCCCATGGGGTGGCTGGCACTCACTCGGGGTGCTCCCCATGGGGGGCTCAGGCTTTTTTTTCCTCCTCTCCTGGGCAGTCGGCGTGCCCGGCGGCCAGCTTTAGGTTTGGCTGGCCCTCGTGGTGATGCCTCATCGTTGCTTGGCCTCGGGGCCACGTCGCGGCTTGGGAAGGCGAGCAAACAGGGCTGGCAGGGAAGGGAAAATAATGAGCGGCTCGAGTGCTGGGAGCTGTGGGAAAGGGCCCTCCCGGCCGTCTCCCCGGGAGATGTTTGGGAGCATTCAGCCACAGCCCCGCTGCCGAATCGCCCGCGGGGGGAAAGCGTGACGGGGCAGGCTCCTCTCTCCAAACAGGATTCGGTCGGCCGTGCCAGGCGTTTACACAGAGCTGGATTCCTCCGCGCCAGCCGGCAGCTGGCGGGCCGGGCGCGCGTTTGGGCAGGCGCAGATTTGGGCAGGCAGCGCTGGGAAAGCTCCCGGGGCTGCGTGAGGTGCCCTCTCTGCCCGTGGCCCCATGGCAGGGTCCCCGTGGTGCCATCCCCGGGGTCCCCGTGGTGCCATCCCTCAAGGAGCGGGGTGCCCTTGGGGATTTATGTGGCTCCCTGCTGGCTCCTGCAGGGCCGGGAGCCCACGCCACGTGTCATGAGCTCCCCCAGGTCTCAGCCTGGCCCCTTGCAGGCAGAAGCAGCCCGTGGGTGGGGGGGGGAGAGGACAGCGCCGCACGGGACGTCTGGTGGCTGCCGCTGTCACTCAGTAACCAGCTGCCCTGCGGCCCCGCGCCAGGAGCTGTCATTAGGCAGTAAAAGCTTGTCGGAGGAGCAAAGGGGCAGCTGGGGGGGAGCAGGGGTGGGAGACCCTCAGCAGCAGCTTTGGAAGAAGGGTTTGGGCCCCTCAACCCGCACCCGAGGGTGCCAAGGGGAGCGCCGGCGCCAGGTCCCAAAGATGCTGCTGTCCCCACGAGCACCCGGCCCTGCTGCCCCTTGGGACGATGGAGGGAACGGGAGGCCTGCGAGCACCCGGGCCCCTTGCTGAGCCCGTGGACAATGGGTTTTGTTCCTGCTTGCTGAGCTGGAAAGGCACCCACGGCCCCATTTCAACCGCGAGCAGCCTGGCTTTATCCCGGCAGGTCTGGCCGTGGGAGGAGGCGGAGGGACGGCGGGGTGCCGGCTGACGGGCACGGACAGAGCTCCGGAGAGCATCACAGCACGCAGGTGAGCATCCCCTCCCGCCCCAAATCACAGGGCAGGCGTCCTTGGGGTCACCGCTGGGAGCCCCGTGAGTGATGGTGGGAGAGCCCTGTCCCCAAACGGGGCTGGCAGCCAGAGGCTGAGGACCTCTGCTGATTTTCAAAGCATCCGGGACTGCCGCAGCCTCATTACAACCGGCTCTCCAGGAGCCTGTAGGGTTTTTTTTTTTCCCTCTGCCATTGACCTAGAGGTCCAGCATCTTCTGCGTTTCCTGATGGGGTGTGGCAGCAGGATGAGAGCTGGTTTCCCCCAGCCCCGCCGGGGGCCGAGCAGAGCAAAGCAGCTCTGCACGTGCCTGGGGAGAGGGAGACCTCCACGCAGTGACACGCATGCCTGTGTTTTATGGCCCTGCCTTGCCGCACACGGGTGCTGCAGCTGGCCGGGGCTGCCCTCGCTGCTTGGCTTGGATTTGGGATGGCAACATGGCTTTGGGATGGGTTGGTGCACAGCCCCGTGTCCTCACGCTGCCTCCGTTCCTCCCCCCTCGTCTGCAGCAGAGGCAAATGAGGGGAAAAGGAAAATCTCAGGTGCCGGAGGAGGAAGGCTCGTGGGTTAATTAAGGTATGGATGCAAAGTGCTTGCAAATCTCCGAGGGAAGCGTTTGCCGTGGGTGCCAAGTGGCAAGGATGCTTGAAACGCTGAGCGCATACAAATAGCACCTCGCTCCTCGGGCTCTGAAAATCAAACGTTGCCCAAGAGGTGCAGAAAATATTTCCCCAGGTTATGCCCGGAGTAAATCTCACGTTTTGCTCTTGCTTTCCAAAAAATCAGCCGCTTGTTTGCCTTCCCCTTCTGGATTTAGTCGCTTTGGTGGATGCGGGGAATTGCTACAAGGAGAAAAAAGAAAAAAGAAAAAAAAGAAAAAAAACAGCTTTTGTGAAATGTTTGGCAGTGAGCGTATCTGAAAGTGGAGCCCTTCTGTTTGTTCTGCCTGTTACAAACCGGGGAGCGAGGCTGGAGGCCAGCCTACAAACTGGGCTCCAGGTGACGGCTTTGGCTTGCCTGTGGCACACACCTGAGGTTTCGGGAGGAAAAACTCAGCCAGCCTCTGCGGCAGGCCCCGGTGAGGGGACTCCCGGCGTTATATAAGGGAGAGGCTTTGCTGGCTGCCTTCCTCCGGGAAAGTACAAGCCTGCCTTCTCCCTTTGCTCTGGCGAGCGAAGCAAGCTGCCAGCAGCACTTTGGCAGCACGCTGCTGCTTCCCGAGCAGGAGGGTGGGAGAGCAGCAAGCCCCCGGGCTCGCTCCGGGCTGGCTTTTCCCAGCACGAGGGGGAGAAATCCTGCTCCGTGCGCCGTTTCAGGTTCGGGGCCGAAGAGGTTTCTGGAGCTGTTTGCTTCTTCTGGGTGGACTTGTTGTTGTGCTCGCAGGAATGAGCTTGATAACACACGAGCCGCTTGGGAGCAGAGGGCTCGGCAAAGGCCGTGCTTGGCCTGCACGAAGCAAAGAGCTCGGCCCTCCAGCTGGGGCGCAGATTTCTTTGCGGGGCGATGCGCGAGCCGTGAGCAGCTGAAGTTTCACAGCCCTGAGCCGCTCTCACGTCCAAGCACTGTGCCTTGCTCGCCCCGGGCCACCTGCTTGCCCACAGGAGGACACCTCAAGACCCTGTCCTGCAAATTGGTGCCGGCTGGGTGAGGCTCTGTGCGCCGAGCAGCAGCCAGGCTGGGGCTGTCTTCCTCGCCGCGCCCCCCCGGGCACGCTGCCTGCGGTCACTGATGGCTGCGCTCGGTGCTAATGGGTTTTCAAGCTTCCACCGAGAGAGATGGCTGGGAGCAGCCGTGCCAATTCCAGTCCTTGGGAGTGTCGTCAGGAGCAGCGCTGTGAATTAGGCAACATTTAATCCGGTAGGTTGGCGATGCTGAGCGCTGTGTACCCTGCTGCTGAAAGCCCCGGGGTGAGGCAGCAGCTACACCCACCTGCTCCTCAAGTGGAGGCTTACTGGAAAATCGGGTGGGAAGGAGATGTGCTGGTGGCTTTCCTCCCGGCAGGGCCGGGTCTCTTAATGGTGCCGAGAACCTTGCTACCGGCTCCTGGAAGCCCAGAGGTGGCTCGAGCGGGCACCCAGGGGGCCCTGGGGGATCGGTTCCCGTAGCGTTTAGCTAAAATTGGAGCTTATAAATAACAAGAACATCTTAATGAGGCTCGAATGCTGGCTTGTGCTGCTGAGCTGCGGATGTGACCTCTCCAGGGGAAACGCAGGGCCCAGGCCAACGCAGCACCAAGGTCCCCACGTCTCCCACGGGGGCTCGTAAGGCTCCGCCGGCGGCAGCGTGGCCGATCTCACAGAGGGGTGACTGTAGGCGTCCCAAAGCAGGCGACGCTGCAGCCTGCCACTTGGCTTTCTGTTTTTCCCCTCCCTGTGTATTTTGAGGTGATCTCGGTGGGTGTTTTTCCCTCAGTGGGGGAGGGAAGGGAAGGGAAGGGAGAGGAGCTCACCTGGAGCAAGACTTTCCAGACCGGAGACGTTTGGGGAAAGCAGGCTGGGGAAAGGCAGGCCCCTGGGCTCGGATCCGGCACCGCCTGCGAGACACAGCGGGAGCCTAATTGGAGACGGGAGCTTTGAAATTTAATTTGAGCCGATATGAATCTCACACTTAGTGAGCAGCCTCCTGCCTGGTTGTCCAACAACGCTTTCTGCTGCTCGCTCCGTGCTCCCAGGGCTGCCCGCGGGCAGATCCCAGCAGCACAGGGCTGTGATAAATGGGTTCCTCCGGCACCGGCAGGGCTCCTGCAGCACTGGTGTCACCGAGCAGGGCGGTGGAGAGGCCACCTCATCGGGGTGACACACTGCTGTGCTTCAGAAAGTTCAAGTAGCTGTCTCTCATGTGTCACTGCTGCCTTTTTTTTAAGGCTTTTTGATCGTTTTGCTTGCACACAGAAGTTCATAGTCGGGATGTGAAATAAAAGCGTGATCTTTGTGCCTGTTTCTGCTCGGGAGGCGTGTGGTAGAGCATCTTGTGAGCGTCACTGAGGATGGGGATCTGCACTCGGGGTCGTTTAGCTTCCAATTTTTGTTCCTAACCCAGCTGATGGCTGGCTGCAGGGTTTCCTGAGGAAGTTTATCAACGCAGAAAACACTCGAGCAGTCAAATAAGAGGAAAGTTTATAAGCTGCGGTCACCTCCTGGGGCTGTGACTTATAGGTGAAGAGATCCAGCAAGGAGGGTGGCGTGTTTGAACCAGTGGCCAAACAAAAAAGATCCCCAGCCGCCCAGATACGAGCTGGGGTTTGCGCCCACACCCCTTCGCCGTGGGACAAAGTACCCTTAGCGCCACCGAACCTTGGCACTTAAGCAAAAAAACAAGTAGCCTTTGAATGCCAGCTATCTATACCGATCGATTAATGTGAGCTGTGCAAAGAAAAAAAAAAACAACAAATCACCTCCTGAAGCCGGTGCGAGCGGGGAAAGGCGCCCGCAGCCTCCCGCTGCTCGCCCTTTGGCCACCGGGCGCAAGGCGCACGGGCGCGCCCCGCATCCCGGGGAGCCGGGGGGGGGACCCCGCATCTCCGCGCCCCCCCGGGGCCGGGTGTGGGGCTGCGGGGCACGGCTCCCCCGCGTGTCCCCCCCGCCGTGGGGCGGAGCGGGAGGCGGGCCGGGGCGGTGCGGAGCGGCTCGGCGGGGAGCGGAGCGATTTGGAGCTGCGGAGCGGCGCCGGAGCCCGGCCCGGAGCGGGGTGCGCCGCAGGTGGGTGCGGCGTGGGGGGGCGCGGGGGTCCCCGTGGCCGTGGGCGCCGCGGTGGCCGTGGGGAAGAGGGGACACCCCGGAGTGTGGGGACCGCGTGGCGCATGGTGGCGCCCAGCCCGGCCCTCTGGGGGCTGGAGGCGGTAAAAGGAAGAGGCGGCAAAAATGACTTGGGGGGGGTGGGGAGGGGGGAAAAATTGGGGGGACGGCTTGCGAGCGGCTGGGGGGGGCGGGGATGGCGGGGGGGCGGCGGCAGGGGGCTGCCCGTCGCGAGGGATGCGCTCCCCCGAGCGCTCCGGGGCCACGCGTGGGGCGTGGAGCTGCCCCCCCCGTGGGGATGCTGCGTCCCCCCCCCCCCCTCGGGTGCTGCTTTTCTCGAGGTGTTTTCCACCCTCCCAGGCTCCCACGGCAGCTCCGAGCCCCTTCCCCTAACTTATGGTAGGAGTGCCAGCCGGTGCGTGGTTTTGGGGCCGCACACCCGGTTCCCGGACACGAGTGGGTGGGGTGCGGGGTTTCACCAGGGCACTGCGTGTCCCCCCCCCCCCAGCCATGTGGCCATCCATCCACACATGGCACGGAGCTGCAGGAGGGCGCACGGGCTGCGCCCCACGTGCCACCCAGCTCCACGTGCCACCGGGTCCCCTGGGCTGGTGGCCCTCCACCAGGAGCCCCCGGCTGTGGTGGCAGCGGGTCCCGCTCGGGGGAACGCTCCCGGCCGGCTGTGGGATGCAGCAGGAGGTTTCAACACGTGTTTGCCCGCTCCTCCCGAGCAGATCGGCCGCCTTAGCAGGAGCGCGGGGAGCTCGGCGTGGAGCCCGTGCCGTCCTCCCCACCCCTGTGGCTCAACCCGAGTCTCTTTTTCGCCCCTGCTAAGCGCTGAGGCCAGCCGGGCTGACACAGCGTCTGCCTGGGAGCCGGGCTGTCGGCTCGTGGGAAGGCGGCGCGGTGGCCAAGCCCTGAGGCTGTGGGATCGCAGAGAAGCGAGGCTGTGTCCTTCGGCCCAGCGGGTTCCCCAGGGCTGCGGGCAGCAGGAGGAGTTCGTGCAGCTGGCGGCCGCAGCTGGATGCGCTTCCTCGCGGCTCCGGAGCAGGAAGCAGCTCGGCTGCCCCACGGTTGCCTGTTGCGAGCAGACACAATTGAGGAGACTTCTGTGGATGCCGACGTGGGAAATCCCACTCTCCTCTTGCACCCCAGCCCGGCCTGGCGGCATCGTTTCCGCTCCCCAGCCCCTTGCAAGCTGCTCCCTCGGGCCTGCCTTCGCCACAGAGCTCGGCTGCTGAGCTC